TCACGGTCAATCCAAAAATTTGAAATAAAGTACCAAAGCAGCGATTCCGTGGGCAAATATACAGGTTAATTCAAGTCTTCGTTACAGTTGTATCAACTTCACGGGGAAAAAATGAGAAACACGATATATACAACGACCCGCACACAACCAGAAAACCAAAGATGATACGAATTCACGCCAACAAATACCGGAAAAAGAGAAGAAAAGTAAGAAGAAGAAGAAGAAGAAGAAGAGTGAAATGAGAAGGTAACATTAGATAACTGACCAGGAAAGAATGAACTGGGGGCGACAAAATCAAACCTGAAAAGTGATTAAAAAAAAAAAGTCAAATGCACCCAAATCATAATCGTGACAGTGAAGTAAATAGAAAAAGGATCCTGTACAACTCCCCAGAAAAATAGTGAGGTGACATGGAAGATTCACAGACTAAAGAAAGAACAACATACCTGAGAGCATCAAGAACAATAATAACCAAACGGTTTATAGCAGGCTTAGTCCAACAAGATCCATCAGAAGAATTAGTGGTGCTGTTCAAGTGATCAAAAGAAGAGAAGCAAGGGGAGTGGGAAATGTCAGAGCAATTGCTGTAGTAAGGAAGCTCGGTTCTAGTAAGCAGAAAGCCTCTGGTGAATAGGAAAATGGCGAGGGCGTGAAGCAACATCGTCAACCACATCGGCCATATGTATTCCCATTTTCCACCTGCCCTTTTCCGTCGTGACTCCATCTTTCTCGCCATTTCTGCAGTCCCAAGTCCCAAACTTTGATCTCAAGAGTTTCTCTTGAGCAGAGTGTTTTTCTTCGCTTTCCCTTCGGCCTAGTTGAATCCGAAGTTCCAAGTCCCAAACTTCGGTCTCAACTGTCATTTTTGTTTTTTTCAAGTTTTTTTTTTTTTTAAATATCCTTGCTCTTCTGCGGTTCCGCCTTGACAAGAATTTTGAAGGGCAGAATTCAGTAAAGTACCACAAATGCAATTTTTCAACTAAGAAAAGTTAGTTTTTATTGATATCATACAAATAGGATATGTAATTTTATTTTTATTTTTAATTTAAATAATTATATAATTATATTAAATATTTTTCCATTAATAAAAAAGGATAAAATTAAAAAAATAATTTATATATTTCTATCAACATCTTTCCTAGTTTTTAAATGGAAGGCCTCATTGATGATAAATATAAATTTTGTATTCATTAATAATAGATCATGTTGTTAAACATTTATAATATGTTTTTTGAAAAAAAATATTGTTGGTGCTAAAATCCAAATTTGGCCCCAAGTCCAATCATTTGAGTTTAAAATGATAATTTTAGTTTAAGTTCACATAAGTCTTATAGAAAAAAGATGGTTACTTATTAAGAGGAAGAACTTACACACCAATTAGGAAATAAGAAAGAGAGAATAAAACTTAGGAGAGCATTGTAGCTAGTCGCCTTAAAAAATGAAGCATAGAATCATGTAAAAATTGTCACTTTGCACAAGTAAAAAGAGGAAGTCGCCAAACACTTGCTCTCTTCAATTTCTTTGAATTGCAATCAACTCAAAAACATTCTAATTATTTCAACACTTGATCTAATCAAACGATACGCTTCATTTTTTTAGCAAATTCAACATAGCTTCCTCATAGCACCACACCTTAACTAGAGAACAATATGTTTTTTAGTAACTAATGGAGTTTCAACTCCTAACAAAATAATAGTAACAATACTTCAACACTTTTTTTCTTTCATCTTACATTTCTTGTAATTTATCTTTTGTTAGGCAAAAGTATCATTTTCTTTAATTCCTAATGATAAAAAGATTTCAAAAGATTTAAAGCAATTATACCATTTTGTGGGATTAGCTTATCATTTACATAATTTAAATAAATTTTATTATCATTTTTTCAAATTTTAATCTCTCCTCAATTACTTGTCAAAGGTGATATCTAATACATTGATTTTTATTTTTGGTAAAGTGAGTTATGTTGGTATTTGGAGTAAGGGAATCTCAAAATAATTGAGACACGAGAGAAAGCACTTGAATGAAAAGAAATTTTTATTGTAAAATGAATAGTTATCAATATCATGATTATTCTCACGGTGCAGTCTTCCATTTTTTTTCATATTTATTTCTTTATTTTTTTATTTTTAAGCACTTGCATTCTTAAAAATTATAATAAAGGATTCCAAAAATTCACTATTTAATTTAAAAATTAGGTATTTCACACCGTTTGGGGACATGGTCCTCTAAGGCGCTAGGTCACCAACACACATTTTAAAATATTGTTTGTTAACAAAAATAGAAAGAAATTTAATATTTAAACAAAGCTCAAAGTCTTAGGTATTTTAAAATATTGAAAAAAATCAAATTTTACAGAATTCACCACTAGATTGAAAAAAAAAAGCATATAAAATTTTTGAAAATATGCGTCACAAAAAAATAAAGTTCTTAGTAATAAGATTTTTTAAAAAAAATTAATATTAACTACTGCAAAATTTAAATGTTTTTTATTTCTAAAAAGTAACAACAATATTTCTATGTATTGAGATTAAAAATTATTTAATGCACGGTCAAGTATTAAAAATAAATATTTTTTCTAATAGGCATGGGCAGAAGGAGGGGGACTCGTAGCCATGGCCCTTAAACTTTAGATAATTTTTAAATATTTTAAAATTTTTTAAATACTTTATAAATGCTAAATATTCTTGGCCCCTTAAACTTAGGACCTTGAGTATCTCCTTCCGCTTGTTAATTCCTTCCCGCATCCCGTTGCAAAGCACCGTTTCATTCCACATAATCAAATCTGTGCCGTTCATAGGTTTTAGTTAATCCCAACCATGTAATATAAACATGTGCGCGCGCGCGCGCCAGTGTGACGGTTGCGATGATACATCCATATTTGGTTCAATCTCCTCCGTATTTCGATGATTTGATCTCCTTCTTTTTCTTAAGACGTGGCTTTCTTATACCCCTTTCATTAAACAATATAAAATATTTTTAATTAAATTTTATTTTAATAACTACTTACTTTTAAATTAATTTTATATTTTTATATTTATTCTTATTAAACACTCTATAATAAATATAAATTCATTCATCAATAAAAATATTTTAAAAAATAATAATAATTACATCTTAAAAGATTAAAAATATTTTATATTTTTTAACATTTAATTCCTTAAAAAATACCTTATATTTTTAAATGGAGGGAGTATTTCTCATGCTTTTTAATTTTTTTTTGCCAGAAGTGTTTTATAATCTATCTATATAATTTTATATTTATAGTGGTTTAATGATCTATAGATTTCTATTTCATTTTTTTCTTGTTAGCCTAGTTGTAATCTATCATCTCATTGACAATAGAAGCTGTTGAATTGAAGCATTGAAGCGATTAAAATCGCTACCCGAAGCATATTTCTCATTCACCTGTTTTCCTCCCAAAGTTCTTTTTCTGCGTCTCCCATGTGCAATTGGGGTGGGGAAGAAGATAAATCTTTTAGATAAAGCAATGGACGATCAGGATTTGTCCTTTGCACTCAACTGTTTTGATATGCTATGTGAATTTTATAAATAAACTAATAAACAGCCCGCATTTATCATGCAGGCCAATACAGCGTCGTTCAAGTGACAGATGAAAATTTTATAATGTATACTTCTACCATTAAAAAATATAAAATATTTTTTAAAAAATTGAATATTTAAAAATATAAAATATTTTTAATCTTTCAAGGTTCAATCATTATTTTTTTTTCAAAAATACTCCTATTGATAATGACTTTATATTTTATTATAGTTATTTAATATGGGTAAATATAAAAAAATAAAATTAATTAAAAAATAAGTAATTACTTTATTGAAAATGAGATTTGATTAAAAATATTTTATACTTTTAAATGGAAGGAGCATATGTTTTAATCTCGATTTTCTTATTGTTAAATTCCGGCTCCACCCACTATTAAATTCATTGAGGGACTACTAGCATTTTCTGCTTATCACTTATAGATGTCTTTTATTGTTATCGAAGTAATTATAATCATAAAAAAAGTATCAGCATTTATTTTTCACAATTATATATAATGACATAAATATATATATATATATATATATATATAGTAATTATCAATATCACTTATCAGAAGAGCTTTGACACTTGTCCATTTCCGTTTCTCGCATATCAGGATAGATCTAGAAATAACTCTATGAAGGGTTAAAACACAAAATTATATAATAGTGGAAGGTAGAAATAAATTTTAACATTTTTTTAAATAAAAATAAAACATTTTTTAAAAAATATGTAACTTTTGATGCTCGCATACTATTCTGAACATCCATTCAATTACATTCTATTATTAACTTGGTGATTAGAATCCGAAGCAACAAAGCGTCGGAAATCTGAAGTGATCTATAAGTGATGATATTGTTTGCGTCAATTAGGCATGTCTTCCCCAAATTCCCTCTGCTTTTCCATGCTCGATCGCTTCATCATCATCCTCATACCATTGACTACTCTCTATTTCTAGCATTTGTTTGCTTGCGTGACACACATCCCCTACCTCGCAGTGTTGAAATTAATCAGAGTTTAAGATTTCTTGCACAAATGAAAGATTATGGCTCTCTTATTTCATTCTGGGCACTAGCTGAGTCGAAGAGGATCGCGCCATATTTTGCTATTTTGGGCATCTTGATCAATTGTTACTCTCAAATTGGTCACATGAACTTTGCTTTTTCTGTGTTTGGGAAGGTTTTCAAGATGGGTCATAAGCAGCCTGGTACTGTAATGTTGAATTCGCTGATTATAGGGCTATGTTTGAACAATAACGTTCTAATAGCAGTTCGGTTTCATAACGACCTTACAGATAGAGGATTTCAGTTAGATGCAGTCGGTAATGGTATGTTGATCAGTGGGTTATGTAAAGATGATCTCATAATTGAGGCATGGGATGTGTACAGTAAAATGATTGATCAATGAATATCACCTAATATAGTCATTTATAGATCTCTAATGAGTGGTTTTTAAGAAGATGAGTCAAGTGCAGCAAGCTTATCAGATGCTCGATGAAATGGTACAAAGAGACATTGATCCAGATGCCTGGGTGTTCGACATTCTAATTGTTGCATTTTGTAAAGAAGGAAGGATCATGGAAGCTAATGCTATTTTTGCCATGATGGTGAAGTTTGGTGAGAAACCTAATGTTGCCACTTATGGTGCTTTGATAGATGGACATTGTTTGGCATATAATGTTAATGAGGCAAAGCAAGTGTTTGATAAGATGATCAAAATTAGTCTTGCACCAAATGTTACATGCTACAATATCATGATCAATGGATATTGTAAGGTTAAAATGATGGATAAAGCCATGGATTTTTTTAAAGAAATATTGACCATGAATTTGGCACCCACCATTATAACTTACAATACTCTTATTGATGGCTTTTTAAAAATAAAAAGGTTGACATGTGTTCAAGACCTTCTTCACAAGATGCATGATAGTGGTCTTTGCTTTCACAAGATTGCTTACAATACTTTGTTTAATGGATTGCGCAAAAGCCAACTTCTTGACGAGGTAATTACATTATATACACAAATTAATTAATGCCCAAGCAATTGAGCTTGATTCATATGTATACACTCAAATCCTTGATGGTTTGATAAGAGGTGGCGGATTAAATTCCGCCACAGGTTTTTTTCAGCACCTATTGGGCAATGAACACTGCAGTCAATGAATTTTGTAAAGAGGATTTGTTTCTTGAATACATAATGTTGCTTCATAAAATGAAAGAGAATAGCTGCATCATTGATTTTACAACTTCTCACGACTTTATTGTTAGAGGGTTTTCTTGAAGGAAGAGATTGATAAGGCAGGAAAGCTTCATTATTAGAGGGTTGTTACAAACGTAAATGCAAATGTATAATTAAGATTGGGCACCGTAGTTGATATTCTTTTTACATGATTTTTGTTTGTATATGTCGACAGTTTTGGTGCGTACGTATATACTATTCCCATTTTCAATACAACAGAAAGTTCGAAAAAAATTTTGGTCATAAATATACGATAAATTTAAAATAAATAATGCTTTTTTTTATTTTTCCCTTTATTTATTTATTATCATTTGAAGTTTTAAATAACAATTCATTGTTGTTATTAATTACAAAGAAGGGTGAAATTGAGAAGTTATATATATATATATATATATATATATATTAATTACAGTTTCAAGATTATAACTATGATTTCTTAATACGCGTGATGTTTAACAACTTCATCTTATATTAAGGATAAAGGAGTATGCATGTATATGTATACAAATACTTTGTCAAAGTAGTATGAAAAGAGTCGGAAATATATGTCGGGCTTGAAAAATTGTCTGTTTAAGTTTATTTTTATAAAGGCTTTGTGATTTAGAAATTGACAATTTTTATGAAAATTGAGTTTTGAAGTCCAACATTGATAGCCTTAGAAAGAAATAGATTTTGGCCTAGGCGGTCCTTCAAATCTAATTTCCTTTTTTCCCCCTTCTCCAATGCAAAAGCCAAAACGCAGTGCCTTAAACCCTAAGGCCATGTTTGGTAGAGAATATGGAAAAGGAATTGGTGTTGGAATCCTAAAATAGTTATGTTTGGTACTTTCTTCATTTTAAATTATAAGACACTTTTAGAAGAGATTCAATATCTCAAAATATAAGACGTTTTGAAAGATTAAGATTTCATTAGATATACTTATTCTAATATTATCCTTTCTCTCTTTATTTAATTTATATCCCTTTATCTTTTCATTATGTTAAATGAAGAGTATTTTTAAAATTTTATATTTTTATTTAAAAAAAATAAAAATATTTAATTATGTTTATTAATATGTGAGATTTCATTTAAAAAATGACTCTTGATTTGGGACAAAGGGAGTACATGTCAATTTGAACTCCCAAGAATCTTGTAGGAAAAAAATATTGAATTGAATTCCTTAGTTAGAGGCATTTTATATTAAGGATCGAGGGAGTGCATATGTATTTGTGCACAAATATTGTGTCAAAATAACATGGATAGAGCCAAGAATATGGCCCAGGCCTAAAGGGCCATGTCGTTTAAACATATTTTTATAAAGGTTTGTGCTTAAAGAATTGACATTTTTTATGAAAATTGGGCTTTCAAGCCCAATCTTAATAAATGTTAAAAAAAAGAGTTTCAGCTTAGGTGACTCTCCAAACTTGTTTCTTTTTTTGTTTTCCTTTTCTAATTTAAAAGCCAAAATGCAATGCCTTGATGAAACCCTAAGGCCATGTTTAGTAGTATGGTTGTACAAAGAACTGGATGGTACTGGACTTTAGCCTAACCCAAAGTCCAGTATCTTTTATGAAAAAGGTTAGGTTAGGTTAGGTAACCTGTAGTTTGGTTTGTTAAAAATTGTGCCCTAAGGTTAATCATTGTACTATGTATATTGTTATTTAATGAATTTTTCTTTTGTTATCATATCAATTGAATGTTTATTATGATAACTGTCTTCTTAGACAAATTATAGTGATTGTTCTAAATGTTCCTTGTCGATTATCTATGAGGGATCATAGATGAAATAAGACTAGTATGACTTTAATTAATTATAGAGATATAAATTAAAGTCACAGGCATTTGAAAGAGTACAAGGTGTTGGACCGACTTGTTATGAGGAAGCTGCATAATACAAGTCATAAGCTTATCTCATATGTAATCACATCACTAAGTTCTTTAACTTGAGATCATCATGGATTCCTACATGATGACCATTAAAATTTGACCTAGTCAAAAGCCACCTTTGATCGAGTGATTATAAAGCCTGCGATTGAGTTTAATGATATTTATATAGAGAAATGTGTGTAATCAAGATGAAATTTGCCTCTCATATTAATGAGAGATATTACTGGGCCTCTCGATGAATAAGATTGAAAAAGTGTATGGTCATACTATAATGAAAAGGGTTTTTTCATTATTATATCAATCCACTCAGAGATCGAGAAAGTAATGGTTAAGTAAAGGAGAATGACAATTTCATGTCCCATAATTGATCGAAATATCACTTGACAAAAAGACTGTGATACGGTTATATGATAAGTTACATCGGATCATCAATCCCTATATGAATTGGGTAGTTGCAATGTCTTGCTGAAGGTCACTTGTAACCTGTGGACTAATAACATAATTAGCCTACTGTCAACTTTATATGGTTCTACAGGATTGCGCATAAGAACAGCCCAACTCGAGTTATAATATTCAAGTTTATTGAATTGGAATATGTTTAGATTCAATGAATGTAATATAGGATAAATGAATTATATATATATATATATATATTTGAATATTTAATTGATATATATATATATATTTATAAAATTCAAAATATAATCATATATATTTTTGAAATATATATATTCATATATTTGTGTGCTTGTATATATATATATATATGATATATACGTATATGTATATGATATATAAAATTAAACATATATGATATAATATATATATATTTGAAATAAATATGTATATATATAATATAATATGTATATATGATGTATATTATATTATAATATTATATTATATTACATTATGTTAGTTTTAAATTAAATTTTATATGATATATTAAATTTTATAACTAACACGATATGAAATAATATCATATTAGTTTTATAGTTTGAATTTAGAAGATAAATTCAAATTAGATATAATATTATAGATTTTATTTATGAGAGAAATTTAATCTGAATTTTGGTTGGTTTTTCAAGAGGAAGGTAAAAACCTTAATCTATATATAATAGATATAAGGGGACATGCAAAATGAGAGAGTTAGAAAAGTTCTGATGACCAAATATTTTGAGAGCCATGAAATATTCTAGAGAAAAGAAAACTAACGTTCAAAGAAGAATAGACATTGAGAGCGTTAGCATACTATTCGATTTAGAGAGCTATTCGTGTGGATACTGGTAGAGGGAGTAGATCTACGTTGTCGGCACCTAAGATTTATACTCTTAAAGAGAACGCATGTGAAGCACAACAAAAGAAGGTAACTCGTCTTTCTACATTGACTTAAACGATTTCATTCAGTCCACATCAAGATAAGGAATTTAAAATTTTAATCTTCTACTGTGCCTCTCTATCCAACACGATCTTGTTCAATGATAACCTGAAGTTTAACAAGACCGAACTTGGTCCATATGATTGGGAGACTGGTCCTGTTAGTGTAATATTCACTTATCTTTTTTTTTCTTTTTTATCTATGAGGGTCATAATCCATTTCAACCTAATAAATTCAATTAAGATAATAAAAATATTTATAATTATAATAAATCTATAATAATTTTCAACAAGAAAAAAATATTTCAGTTACAATATAAATAATTTAAATTTATAATTTCAACAAAACCAATACTCAATAAACTTTATCAATACTACATTACAACAATAATTTAGAAACAAATTCAACAAATCTTCATGCAATCATTTCCTTAACATCAATTACACTTGAAAAATTTATTAAAAATAAATTAATTATAATTATATTAAATAAATAAATAGGACCAGACTGGACCAAGCGATCCAAATACCCAGTCTTTTGTTCAGTCCAACTCGAAGAAATAGTTTAATTTTTTAGTCTTTTTGGTCCTAAATGACTAGTGTTTATATGGATCGAACAGAACTAGACCATCGTGAGTCGAACTGAGTTAAACAAGATTAGAGAATTTTTGCATAGCCCTATTTAGTAGAGTGGAATTCTAGACTTGAAAAAGGAATTGGCGTTAGAATCTTAATATAGTGATGTTTGATGCTCTCTCTGTCCCAAATTATGCAACATTTTTTGAGAGAGATTTAACATTTCAAAATATAAAACACTTTAGAAAGATTAAGGTTTTATTAAATATATTTTATTTCAATGTTACCCCTTCTCTCTATTTAATTTTAGTCTATTAGGTTGTTAACTATATTTAATAAGATTTATTAATATGTAAGATTTTGCTCAAAAATATTTTATAATTTAGAATAAAAGGAGTATATGTCAATCTAAACTCCTATGAATCCTAATTCTATGAAAAAAAAAGTTGACATCTTATATTGTGCACAAATATTGTGTTAAAGCAACATAAAAAAAGTTAGTAATACAGGCTAAACTTAAAAGGCAACTTATTTAAACCTATTTTTATAAAAGTTTGTACTTGAAAAATTGATATTTTTTTAGAAAAGTTGGGCATTAGATCTTAGACTTGATATGCCTTGAAAAAAGATTTTGGTCTGGGCAATTCTTCAAATCTAGTTTCTTTCTTTTTTTTTTTTCCTTTCTTCAATTCAACAGCCAAAACAATTCATCAATAAAACCCTAAGACCATGTTTGGTCAAGTGAAATTTTCATTTGGAAAAGAAATTGGTGTTGGAATCCTAGAATGGTGATGTTTAGTACTTTTAAGGGAGATTCATTAATTATATTTATTCTAATATTATCTTTTTTTTTCATTTAATTTTCATCTTTCTTTTTTTAATATATTAAATAAAAATATTTTTATAAATTTATTTATTCTAATATTATCTTTTTTTTCCATTTAATTTTCATCTTTCTTTTTTTAATATATTAAATAAAAATATTTTTAAAAATTTATATTTTTATTTAAAAAAATGAAGCTATTATCTGTATCTAATTATATTTCTTGATTTATAAAATTTTATTTAAAAATATTTTATAATTTAAGACGTACTTATGAATAGAATTCTTTGATTAGAGCAAAGGCTTGAATTTGGAGCAATTCTATTTACCCTCATAAAAAAAATGGAAAGACAACTTTGCCCAGTCATATAAGTCCTGACCTCCTCTTCAGACGGCACGAGCAACGGAGAAGGGTAGCAGGAAGCCAACCTTTCAAGAGAGCGACGGCCAGATCGACGGAGGGAGCGACGGCGAACGACGCTGCCCAGGTATTGTAGGGGATTTCCCTCCTTTTTCGTTTTCCACCCTCGCTTTTCTTGATGGACGGCATGATATATCCGATAAAGCTCAAGAGCTATGATTTCTCCGAAAATCTTGCGCATGGGTAGAAGAATCCGGGTTAATCGATTCAATTTCAGTTTCAATTTCAAAGAAACAAGAGCCATACTACTGTATCGTCCTAATCCATGACTTTTTGGGCGGAAAAATTATGTGATGGGCCCATGAACTGAGGAAATTTAAAACTTGAATTGATATAATCAACAATGCTATAAAATTGTGTGATTCCGATTAAGCGATAATGCTATAAAATTGTAGAAATAAGTGATGAATTAGAGGGTTAAATTTATTTGAAGAGCAAAGGAAAAAAATATGATGAGAATAACCTCTTGGCGAAGAACAGAATGTTGGCTTCACAAGCCCCAATTTGTGAAGTTTGACAGTTCAGAAAATACTGCTGAGTAGATCTAAGATTGAGCTCTGTTCTTCCTAAATCTTGAAGCTCATGTTCTTTTTCTTTTTAAAAACTTTGTGCGCTTGAAGGTCATCAATGAGAAATGTTGCTTCTAACTCAAAAGATGCACACTTAAAAAACTGAGTTGCTGTCTCATTGCATTCAATTTCATAAGCTAGTTATAATACTTGCAGCCAATTATGCCTTAGAGTTATGTTAGTTTTCTGCATATTTTTTATTTTGCATGTTTTTTGCTTTTATCTTCTTTCAGACGTATATGTTTTATGATCACACTGTCCGTATCGTAGGCTATGGTAATCTTAAATGAGGGAGTTCTTTTAGGTTTTTGTGTCTTTTCATGAGCCATATGAAAGTCACATATGAGATATTTGTTGGCAAAGACTGCTCATAAATATTAATTTTCCATACGTCCTGAGATCTTGGCAAATGCTATATAACCATTTCAATAAAGCGAAGACATTCATGTTTTGCTTAAATGGAAAAGCATACTAAAGCAGTGAGATAATATTTCCCACTCAAGTCGATAGTAATCCAAAGCTGTATAGTTTTGCATGTTTCTCTTAATTGATGAAATTGTTCTTTCAGAAGTTTGTGGAAGAAGTAAAAATGTCTTCCTCGCATCTCCCTGCAACAACAGAGACAATTGCCCAGGCACTGGAGGCCAAAAACCCATCTGAGGCTATCTCTATCCTTTATCGTGTACTTGAGAACCCCTCTTCATCTCCAGAAACTCTACGCATTAAAGAGCAAGCCATCACCAACCTCTATGATCTTCTTAGGCAAGAGAATAGGGCAGAGGACCTGTGCAGCCTTCTCACTCAGTTGAGACCGTTCTTTTCTTTGATCCCTAAGGCAAAAACTGCAAAAATAGTGAGGGGAATAATTGATTCTGTTGCAAAAATACCAGGGTCATCTGATCTACAAATTACACTCTGCAAAGAGATGGTGCAGTGGACTCGAGCTGAAAAGCGTACCTTTCTGAGGCAGCGGGTTGAGGCAAGGCTTGCAGCACTTCTTATAGAAAATAAGGAGTATGCAGAAGCTTTGACCCTCCTTACTAGCTTGGTCAGAGAGGTTAGAAGATTGGATGACAAACTTCTTCTTGTGGACATAGACTTGCTGGAAAGCAAACTACACTTCTCCTTAAGGAACCTTCCAAAGGCAAAAGCTGCCCTCACTGCAGCAAGAACAGCTGCTAATGCTATTTATGTGCCCCCAGCTCAACAAGGTGCCATTGATTTGCAAAGTGGGATTCTGCACGCTGAGGAGAAGGATTATAAAACTGCGTATAGTTATTTCTTTGAAGCTTTTGAGTCCTTCAATGCTCTTGAAGACCCCAAGGCTGTTTTTAGCCTAAAATACATGCTGTTGTGTAAGATTATGGTGAGTCAAGCTGATGATGTGACGGGCATTATATCTTCTAAAGCAGGCCTCCAATATGTTGGGCCTGACTTGGATGCCATGAAAGCTGTTGCAGATGCTCATTCTAAACGTTCACTGAAGTTGTTTGAAATAGCTTTGCGGGAGTATAAGGCACAGTTGGAGGAAGACCCAATTGTCCACAGGCACCTTTCATCCCTATATGATACCCTTCTGGAGCAGAACCTTTGCAGATTAATTGAGCCATTCTCCAGGGTTGAGATTGCGCATATTGCTGAGCTAATCGAACTTCCCATTGATAATGTGGAGCGGAAGTTGTCCCAGATGATTTTGGACAAGAAGTTTGCTGGCACATTGGATCAAGGTGCTGGATGCCTTGTCATATTTGATGATCCCAAGGGTGACGCCATATATCCTGCAACCTTAGAAACCATTTCCAACATAGGGAAGGTTGTGGACAGCCTTTATGTTAGGTCTGCCAAGATCATGGCATAAGCTATCTTGTTAGTGATCTTGCTACAAAACTTTGTTACCGTTTCTGGATGATGAGCCATCAACTTTGTTCATGTTCTTGCGACATGAGTTTGTTACTGTTTCGAAGAAACCGTAAGAGCTGAATTGAAAAAACAACAAAGCGTCAAACGCCATGTTTGTTAGATCTCCGAATGAACATATAATGGTTACACAACTAAAGAGGTGGTGTGCCACTTTATCTAGCTACGATATTGTTAGTCAGTCGCTTATTACAAAATGAAAAAATAAAATAAAATAAAAGTCAAGTAGCTAGTTTTCAGAAAACTGATTCCCTCCTGAATGGCATAGCACACTCATGCTATTGGATTTGAAGATGGATAAGGCAACGAGAGAAAAGGAAGAGGAGGAAGAAGTGAAATTGAACGGCGAGGGTGAAGTTGCATGATAGACTAAGACTAGGAAATCAGCACATTCACAAATTTTGGAATCGGGTTAAATATTTATTTGCATCACTAAAATCAGCTTGATAAAATTTGATAGATAAAATTGTGTTGGAAGGATGCCTTCAATCAGATTGAATAGTGTTAAAATTTGATCCAATAGCAGTATTACTAAATATTTTGTATTGTACCGATTGAAAGATCTTGTAATATGTCATGAAAAACAATTGTTTTTTTATAGCTAATAAAGGTTGGCTAGTTAGTAAGAATTTAATTATAACTTACAAAATTGTGGGTACACATTTTCTCATTGATGTGAAAACTTTTTTTGTGAGTGATTTATAAGTATCTTGTTAAGTGTTGTTCAAACCTAGAGGAATGTCATGATCTTTGTGAGTTCCTAAAATCCTACCCACTTAAATTTTTTGAAGAAAAAAAAAATACAATTGTGTATCTTATGAAAAGGGAAGGGAACTATATAATTTGAAATATATAATTCTGCATTTTTATCAAAAAAAAAAGAAAGAAATAAACCATTCTATCTCATAAGACATCTAAATAGTTGTTTAAATATATTTTTACAAAATCACAATTTTACCTGATTTATGTTTTTCAATTACACTTAAAATCACTCTCATAAACCAAATTATCACATAACATAATCAATTATATTCAAAATCAATCATATAAATCAATTTTATCCCATGTGAAACCAACATTGACACTCATTCAGTTTTAATAAAAAAAAAACTCATTCATTCAATTTTATTCATTTGCATGTACATTCAGAAAAATATAAATAATAATTCCGTGAGAACAGAGGAAGATGTATTAGCAGAACAAGGGAGGCAACCAACAACTTCTACTTTCTTTTATTCCCCTGGCACTAAAATATGCCTATAATATAAAATAACAGCAGTTATAATTAAGATCTGAGGGTGCACCCACTCTTATCTATACATATACACGTTTTAAATTGTCCTATTTCCAAGGAAGGTAGCTACTTGTCACGGGCTGAGAGTCTAGCGCAGCACACGGCGCCCGTGCGGCGTCCTGGAGGACCCCATAATCCTCAGGACAAGCCTTACCACATACGGATCACACTGGTTTCGCCCTGCCATGGGCTCATCAGGGAGGCGGCACTAGCCCCCGACCAGTTGTGCACACAGTCCGAAAACTGAGGCAGAACACCCCCAATGCTAATGTCGCCCCCTTTACCCATATTGTGCGAGGCTAACCAGCGGATCGTTCATTATCTTGGTCTTTACACGGTCACGGAGATATCATCCGTGACATTCTCCCACACCCAATCTAGCACGCCCTCGTGCTAGGGGAGAACGACTCCGCCCAAGGATCGTACGTACAGTACTGCCACAAACACATCAGCTTACTTGCTGAGTGGCCACCCGAGTCCTGCACTCTTCGGACCCACTCGCACCCGCGAGCCAACAGGAGTGGAGTCGACAACGGCCAACCTTCCCGCCCGAGTCCCCACTTTTGGACCCACCTGCTTGGAGGCCTTTCTGGAGCGGTGCCGAGGCCGACCAGTCCCAACGTGGGACCCCACGCGCACACGACAGTAAAGTACGTCCTGCTCTGATACCACTCTGTCACGGGCTGAGAGTCTGGCGCAGCACACGGCGCCCGTGCGGCATCCTGGAGGACCCCATAATCCTCAGGACAAGCCTTACCACATACGGATCACACTGGTTTCGCCCTGCCATGGGCTCATCAGGGAGGCGGCACTAGCCCCGACCAGTTGTGCACACAGTCTGAAGACTGAGGCAGAACACCCCCAATGCTAATGTTGCCCCCTTTACCCATATTGTGCGAGGCTAACCAGCGGATCGTTCATTATCTTGGTCTTTACACGGTCACGGAGATATCATCCGTGACATACTACTGTGAAACCAAGATACCTATGGACAAAGATAATAATATTACAAGAGAACAAATCCGGATTTAGAAAGGATGGAACTCACAACATGGTTTCAAAACCAGAACAGCGTTACAGGTGAACAAATCCGTTTTAAATTGGCACGGTTTCAATCTTGGAAGCAGAATTACTAGCCATCAGAACAGCGTTATAGGTGTGCAAGCAAGAAGGAGCTCCTAGACTACGGGTTTTCTCGGACTCTGTTGAAGCTTTGAATCTTATCTTCAGAGATTGTGGTTATTGTCACCCACTTAGACATCTAATCAGCGAGAGCAGAGATTAAGTCTACAGTGACTGGGATATCTCCATCAGCTATATTCCCAGGCGAAAAAGGCTCATGAAGCAGGTAGCGACACCATGTTGCTGGGACTTGCCCCATGAACTGTGCTGAAATGCTGTTGTCTGATAAAGTTAACTTTACTTGAACTTTTGTTCTAGTTTCTTTCAAGCTTCAGCTTGCCATTTTAACCAAGAAAACAGAAAGGATGGAACCCGGCGTAGTGGTAAAATACATTAGAATGGTCCACCATAAATTTTGAATCGACAAACAACCTATAGGAAAAATATGAAACCAGCATACATAGAAATCACTACTATAGAAATATCAATACTTGACGAATGACGATTATCTTTACCAATATTTGAGGTATTTTCATCGTGAAGTACAGGGTGTCATTTTAAATAAACAACAAGTATTAAGTGTCATATTTGGCAATTTCTATAGTAGTGAATGCCATTATGAAGTTCTTTGGCTATATTTCTGAACCATTAGAACGATCACAATCATATGCTCAAGGAGTGAAAGCTTAAACTATTCATGCCCAGCACAATTTCTTTGACACAAAATATATAGGCCTGTGCCAACCATTCATGCTTGTTCAACATCAACAAATGCATAACTTGAATTTGAGATATAGCTCCTCATCTTTTTTTACTTTTTTTTTTATCAGACCTCTATCGATCATTTCATGAAGAAGCCTTTCCACTTTATCATTTTCTTTTTCTTCCACAACACCTCGAATCATTGTTTCATAAGTTATAAAATCAGGTAGGTAGCCATTCGTTTCAGTGCATCATCAAACAAGCCCTCTTTACAAAGTCCTCTGATCATAGCAGTGTATGCTTTGAAGTTTAGATGACAGCCTTTAGCTAGCAGATATTGAAAAATACCCAATGCATCAGTTACCCTAACGACTTTGCACAAACCATTAACAAGGATAGTGTACGTGTACACATTAGGATGAATCCTTTGCTTGACAATTCGTTTCAATAGTGTTATTGCCTCATCAAGAAGCTGGCTTTTGCAAAATCCATCTAATAAAATATTGTACGTAATTATATCAGGCGGTGACCACTCTCGTGTATGGCATAAACAAGATCTTGAACACATGAATTTCTTTCTGATTTGAAACAGCCATCAAATTTCTAGTTTGCATTTCTCTAAAGAGAGTCATGGCATTATCCACCATTTTTATCTTGCAATACCCATTGATTAAGACGTTATAGGTAATAACCGTTGGTTCCAAACCACGTCTGAGCATCTTATCAAATACTTTGCTTGCCTCATTAACGTTGTTAGTTAAACAATATCCATCCATCAAAGCATTGTAAGTGACAACATTAGGTTCCTCATCAAACTTCACCATCTTAGCAAACATAGCACTAGCATCTGTGGTCCTTCCTTCCTTACAAAATGCATCAATCAATATGCTGAAGGTATAATAGTTTGAGGATGTTGAAAAATAAAGCAGCTTCAGAGAGTTGTAACTGACCTATGCTATAGAAGCCATGGATTAAAGAGTTGTATGTGACAATGTCCGGAGATATTCCTTGGGCAATCATTTCTTAATACAAATTTCGTGCCTCAATTACAAGTTCATCTTTGCAGAGACCAGCAATGATTGTGTTGTACGTAACCACATAAGGCTTAATTCCTAATTGATCCATATTTCGTAGCAATTTAATGGCTGATGTTGTTTTACCTGATTTACAAAGTCCATTGATCAAGGTATTATAACTGACCACACCTAACCGAAATCCTTTTGATATAATGTCGTCATGAAAATGGAGAGCATCACGAACATTATTATTCATTCATACACAGCCCTTTTATAAGTTTATTCAACATTATCATATCAGGCTGCCACTCATCTTGAGAACATTCCCTAACACAGAGAAAGCACAGTCCATCCGACCCACATGGCAGTAACAATTGATCCAAATGCTGACAGTAACAGAACATGGCTCCGCTCGTGCCCAGAGTGAAATAACAGCGTGATAATGTTTCATTTTCACAATTGCTACTAAAATCTCAGTAATTTCAACAATGTAGGGTGGGGGATGCATGTGAAGCAAGAAATTGAATCACGAGGGAGCATTGTGGATGGTACGAGGATTAGACGAACGAGTATGAACAAGGAACTTGCGAGGGAGGGAACAGGGGAAAGTGAATTTGGGGACGTCATACCTAATTGTTGCAGACAACATCTTTGCTCGCTTCAGCGGTTCAGCTTTCAGATTTCCGATGCTGAGCTTTTTTTGAGAGCTATGTTCGTCCTAGATAGTTATCTTCATTTGGTTTATTATTTATTTAACTAGTTTTTAGCGGCACAATTACGTTCTCAGATTTAATAGGGACAGTTAAGTAGTTAACGTCTTTGGTGGGTATAATATTATAGATTATTTGAACGAAATTGTGTTTGCGTGCTTTGTTCCATAATTAGATAATTTCCCGTGTGTTACACAGGTTGAATTTAAAAAATTTAAAACAAATACCTTAAATATTATTGATATCTATACATTTAAGATTGCTCTTGTAATATTTAAATTTTATATTTAAAATTTAATAATGAGATACGTAAATTTTTAAAGATAGAAACTAGAGAATATTAAAAGATGTGGGATAAATAAAAAAGTTGAGACGGATGGAGTTATTGTTCCTGTAATACTTGAATTTTATATTTAAAATTTAATAGTAAGATATATGAATTTTTAAAGATAGAGACTAGAGAAAATTGAGAGATGCGAGGTAAATGAAAAAGGTAAGACGGATTGAGTGACTGCTCTCGTAAAACTTAATTTTTATATTTAAAATTTAATGATGAGATATATGAATTCTTAAATATAGCGATGACAAAATATTGAGAAATACGAGATAAATGAAAAAGCTGAGACGAATGGAGTTGCTGCTCCCGTAAAACTTAAATTTTATATTTAAAATTTAATAATGAGATGCTCCCATAAGACTTGAATTTTATATTTAAAATTTAATAATAAGATGCATGAAGTCTTAAAAATAGAGACTTGAGAATATTGAAAGACGCAAGATAAATGAAAAAGTTGAGATAGATAGAGTTACTACTCTCGTAAAACTTAAATTTTATATTTAAAATTTAATAATGAGATACATGACAAATAAAATGAACCAATGAATGAAGAAAATTAAAATTTAACCGAAGTTAATTGACCAATAGCAGCAAAGAGATGCTGACCAATCAATGACTTTCTACAAAATTTGTATATATATATTGATATTGCACTTCAATTAAGTTAATTATTGTCTTTATCAATTTTTATATATTTTTTATTTAATAAAATATTTCACCTAAAGTTAACAGTAAAAAGATAAGTGATTTAGTTTTAAAGAAAAGTTCATTAATTATGCATTGAAAAATTAAAAATAGGGGGAGTGATATTTAAAGCTCTCCCAAAAAAAATTATCACAGTAAAAATCTATCAATTTTATATCAGATATTGTCTTATAAAAATATATATATGTTGTTGTTAAAAATAAAATCTTAACTTTTTTAATTTTTAAAAAAATTCTAACAAAAAATATAAGTTAAAATTCAACTTTTAAGAGAAACATATAAGAGTTTTCACAAAACAATATCTTATACAAAATTAATAAGCCTTTATTGTAATAAATTTTTTTGAGAAAGCATTAAATATCATTCCCCTTAAAAATATCTTATATTTTTAATATCTATAGGAGTATAACATAAAAAAAATCTTACATTTTTAAATGAAAGAAATATGCATTTAAAAACTGGGGAAGGGTTGAATTTTTTTTAATGTTTTGTTTAGTAATTTTATACATTGACCTGCTTCAAATGGAACACCACTGAAAGTCCACTTAATTCCAGAAAATCTCAATGGGCCCACACAATTGTGATAACACTAAACTTAATTAAATTATAATTTAAAGAGATTTATAAGGTATGGGATTATTGAGAGTAATTAAAGTGTTTGTCTCAAGAATACTCTTGATAAATAAAAATTACTTGGCCCCAATTAATTTGATTTATTTCCCATGCACGCCGCCTGTTTGATAAAAATGAGTGAAGAGTTTTGGGAGAATTATTACATCAAAGTCTCACTCAACAGATTTAATTATTTTCATATTTATTGACAATTGAGTTCAAAGGATTGACAATATCATCCATATAAGCTCAGTCGTCAATAGATCAAAAAATAATTAATTGTGTTGAGTGAATTTTAGAGTTATTCTCCCAACAACTTTCCAATCCAATATCAACTTTTCTGTTTGGGTCTGTCTGTCTCTTTTCCTATCATGTGACATCTCAATTTTTTTAAGGTAAAACAAAGTTTGCGTGGAAGCATTTCGAGTCACTCAGGCAAGATTATTAACGCTTTTTACCGTGAGGTTGAGAGATGGGGATCACTTTAATGCTAAGTTTTGGGGTTGCCTTATCTGTGAGGTGAAACTCTTGTTGCAAAGAGAATAGATAGTGTACATCATTTATATCGACTGCAAGGATAACGAAGCTGCACAACACTATGTCACTAAATTACAACACTTTCTCCTCATAATCAAGTTAATATTTTGAAGTTGTTTAATAAAAAAATTAATTATTGTTAAAATAAAAATAAATCTTATTTTTTTCCAAATGAAGAATTGTTATTATAAGAGAGAGTGTGTGTATGAGGTGTAGTTTTATTTTTTTACAATAAATTTTAATTACATTAAGTCTTTTAGTCCTGTAGAGTAAAATGAAGATTATTTGGCACTGCAGAGTAATAAATGTTATTTAGAAATCCTTGACTGCGATTTTCTCTTTTTGTAATGACCAAAATGAATCAATAAACTTTGGGACATTTCTACTCGACCAATGAGCGGTGCCTTAAAAAAATTATAAATAACTAAATGAAGCATTTAAAATGCACCATGCATATAATATATAGAGAAAGACTGTTGAGTGATGATAAAAAATCTCTCTCTAAATTCTTGTACGTGGTCTAGTGTCAGGAAGTCAAAGACAAGGATTATTTATTTGACCTGATTGTGTAACTCTAGCTAGGCTATAGCCTCCTATTGATTATGCAATCGTCAAAAAAGTGTAGACAGAAAAAAATGGACTTTACGGTTACCTTGAACTCGCTCATTTTTTGATGCATTTTCCAGATGCTCATGATGGAGAGACCTGAATGGAGACAACATCACATATAGACAATGATATGATCTAAACTTTCTGCCAAACACGATAAACTTGTCATTATGCTGTTTTCCTATCTACATTTAATTGAAATTTTCATTCATTTCCCCCTTCTAACAAACCATTTTCCAAATTTAGATTAGGTTTCTTTGCCTGTCTAATTAATTTACATAAACAAACCATATAAATTTCATTATATTTCTATGTCTCTCCTCGCATGAGCAATTAAAAAAATTCAAATCACTTAACGGGTATTGCTCATAGTAGAAGGAGTTATAGCTATTTAAGTATAAGATTTCAAGTTGGAGTATGTGTAAATACAAAAGAAGTTTTTGAAAAAGTTATCTTTAATTAGGCCTAATAATACTCAAATTTGATCCAATTGGATAGTTATGTTAAAAAGAAAAAATCTAAATCTATCTTTTTCTTTCCCTTCAAATAGAGTAAATTGCACATTATATTGATTGCGATGAGATGAGCTTGCTTCTTCAATCAGTGATCAGAATTTTCAAACAGGGCCAAAATATCCCTTGTTGATGAAGAATTATTGATGTTCATAGAAGATAACTACTGCACATGTGCATGGCTTTAATGTTCCTGCCAACCCTACATGGTCACGCGCCACTTATATGGCTCTTAATCAAAAGACTTTGACATGGACCTCAAAACCCATTTTTTGTTTTCATCTTCCAGAAAGGAATGGTAGTAGATAGCTACTAGTGGAAGATATCATGTGTAATTATTATTATATGGGACCCCAATAGATACCCCACTTCATTATCTCTACCCAAGTTCTTTAGTGTTCTTCGTACTTTTTGGCGTTTCTTGCTTGCTATCTCTGTTTTCTTTCATGTGAAAAGGTATATAATTGACTGTGGCAAAAGGAATATTACCTTTTTCCTCCATTCAATTTTGATTTACAGTTACAATTAGATTATGTTATGGTGAATTTGAAGCTACAAACTTTTATTTCCCATTTTTGACTTTGTTCGGTAACTTCCGATGTTCATGTGTGTATCTTTATTGTTCCTGCTATGATTTTGTCTTCATTCTGAGTAAACTCATAGTTAGACTTTATTGACCTTGCAGTTTAAGATATTGTGAAGCCTGAACAGATTCAGAGGGTGATCATCAAAAAAAGCATAGTATGACCCACGAGAATGGCCCATGGCTCTGGACAACTACAATCTATGGTTTGAACACCACCTCTTTGATGAAAATGGCCAAAGAACTTTCCCAATATCAACAACTCCATTTGTGGTCTCCGTCTCTTTCTCCACTTCACTACCTTAAACCCTTCACTGCTATACTTTTTTTCTTTTTATTCTCTGACATCCCATTTTAGGATCATATTACTGGGTTTTTTTCACTTGATATGGATCTTGCTGACAAGCAGCAGCTGCAGCAGTCCTTGGGAAAGAGTACGAGGCATCGATGCAGTGAATGGTTTGCTCCACAATTTTTTAGTGCTTTTGTTGCTTAATTTGATCATGCCCCCCTTTTTTGTGAATAATATTGTTTTGGGTAATTTTGACTATGATTGGTAGCTGAACTTAGATCCTTAATTCTTGCTGACGACCTTGATACCATGAAATCAAAACTCAGATTTTGTGGTTGAGTTTTATTTATTGAAGCTTTAGGTTTTTATTTCTTTGTTCTTTTCCTTCTTAAAACATTTCTATTGAGGCGTTATCTACTGATATATATATGTATATGTATATCTTCCAAGCTTTCAAGTTCTAACATTCTGGTGATGTATTAGTCTTCCTGTTTCTAGTTTTCTCTAGGGTGACCAAGTGGTGTTATTTGGAATGGTCACTCTGGCTTGTCATGTGTTCTTATTAGCTCATTCACTTGGCCACTTAGAGTGTTTTTAAATTTACTTATTCCTCTCTTCTTTTTCTTCTTCTTCTTGCTGATCTTACTCCTACAATTAAATGGCTAAAGATCTGCCGCTACTATTATTATGAGATAATTTTATGTAATTAGTGATCTCTCCTGCCTTCTGCATAGCAAGTTGAATGGATTCATTTTGGTCATGTATATGCTAGAACTGTTAACCTGAACACCTTAATTATATTGTAATTCCTTCTAGATAATTTTGCTATCATATGTAAAGAGCTAATTATAAAGTATTTATCATTTTCGTTTTGTTATGGTTGGGGGTTGGCATCTATAATAGATGTAAAGGTTTCCTTGTAAGAGTTGTTATCATTTTACTTTATCTCTGTTTCCTGCTTTAGTAAAATCTTTGTGATTGCCTTCTTACGTAATTGAGCTATACCATCCCTATATCAATAAAGGCTGCTATGAATCTCAATAAAAAAATTGATTAAATATTAGCTTTATTCTTCATTGGATTGAATCATACTGTTATTGGAATTTAGAATCCCAATGTCTAAAAAAAAAAAAAAAACTTCCTTCTTTGGGTTGGTTGTGCGCTCCATAACTTAAATACCTCCCAAAATGAGGGAACTGATCATTTATCTTCATGTATGTGTAGAATCTGAATTATATCTCAACTCTCAAATCAAGGGCTTGTAAGTGAACGAATAAGTTTGATGCATGATGTTTAAACGCACAAGAATTTTATTGTAACTGGTGTTAATGCGTTTTCTTTAGTCAATCTGATTATAAGTTTGATGCTACGAAGTTCTGAGTCAGATCAAGTTCTTTTTGACTGCCTCCCCCCCCCCCCCCCGGGGGGGAAGCTTCATGATTCATAGAAAACTGATACCCCATGGGTGCTAAACTTTTTGCTTGATTCTTCTCAATTTCAAAATTTAGGCAAGAAATTCATCGTTTATCAATGAATCCTTGAGTTAGTTTTCATATTCACAAGTTTATGCCTGCAACAAATTATTTCTGATGAAAGACTGATTGTTAACCATTTGTAGGATTTTTCGAGATGTACCAAGTGATATAACTATAGATGTGAGCGGAGTAATATTTTCTTTGCACAAGGCAAGTATTATTATCCATCTTGTTACTATGAACTTAGTTTTTTTCTGATTGACAGCATGACAATTCTGATTGTTCTTTTCTTTACATGAAGTTTCCTCTTGTCTCTAGAAGTGGACGAATACGGAGCTTAGTTGCAGAACATAGGGATTCTGATATCTCAAGAATTGAGCTTCTTAATTTGCCAGGAGGTTCTGAGTCTTTTGAGTTGGCTGCAAAATTCTGTTATGGTATAAATTTTGAGATTACATCTACAAATGTTGCTCAGCTCTGTTGTGTCTCTGATTTCCTCGAAATGACTGAAGAATTCTCAAAAGACAACCTTGGCTCCAGGGCTGAGGAATATCTAGATAGCATTGTTTGCAAGAACCTTGAAATGTGTATTGAAGTGTTGCAACAATGTGAAAACCTGCTGCCTCTTGCTGATGAACTAAAAATAGTTAATCGTTGCATAGAAGCCATAGCCTCAAAAGCTTGTGCAGAGCAAATAGCTTCTAGTTTCTCACGTTTAGAGTATAGCAGCTCAGGGAGGCTACACATGAGCAGGCAAGCCAAATGTGATGGTGACTGGTGGATAGAAGATCTGTCTGTTCTTCGCATTGACATGTATCAACGTGTCATAACTGCAATGAAACGTCGTGGGGTCCGGCCTGAGAGCATTGGTGCCTCCCTTGTGAGTTATGCTCAGAAAGAATTAACAAAGAAATCCAGCTTGTGGAATCCCTCTAGCCAGATTAAAGTTGATTCTGATTTAATTGGTCATGAAAAGCTTGTGGTTGAGACTATAGTCAGCCTTTTGCCAGTGGAGAAGCTTGCTGTTCCAATCACTTTCCTTTTTGGGCTTCTGAGAAGTGCAGTGATGCTTGATTGTACTATATCTTCTAGACTTGACTTAGAAAGAAGAATTGGCTCGCATCTTGATGTTGCCACTATTGATGATCTTCTGATTCCATCGTTTAAGCATGAAGGTGATACCTTATTTGATGTAGACACAGTTCATAGAATTTTGTTAAACTTTTGTCAGCAGGATGATAGTGAAGATGATCTGGATGATGCTTCTGTTTTTGAATCTGACAGCCCTCGTTCTCCTACACAAACAGCATTAGTTAAAGTGGCAAAATTAGTCGACAATTACCTTGCTGAAATTGCCCCTGATGCAAACCTGAAGCTTTCAAAGTTTATGGTCATTGCGGAAACCTTGCCAGCACATGCACGAACTGTTCATGACGGGTTATATCGAGCCATTGACATTTATTTGAAAGTATGTTTTGTCATCCTTCCTTGCAGATATGAGCACAAGATTTTTGCAAATCACACAGATGAATTTTCAGAGGGAAGAAATGGGGTGAACCTGTTAGGAAAATGAACCCAATCCAAAGGAAAATTCTGTTCATTTTAGAAATGCTTTTTGATCAATTTCAGTGAGACTACCAGCCTAACCATTCTCTTGCTAAAACAGTTTATAAAGATTTATAGATACCAAAGTTAATTCTTGTTTCAAAAATGACATTAACTTTTCTTACATACATACTCAGCTGTATTCTTAAATATGGCATGCTATCTCTTGAATCACGTAACATTTAAATCTGCATGAGGGCAAAATGAATAGTTTCATTTCATTTAAGTCTTTTATTGGACTTCTGATAAAATATACGAGGAAGTTTGACTTTGATACAACTTCTTGACTCACAACACACTATCAACCTCAAAGATGAGTTTATCTCTGTCCACTACCATAGAGTATTAGGTCCTTTTTTGGTTCAACTTAAAGGTGTTCACCTATGACTCCGCTCTATATATATGTGTGTGTGTGTATCTTTCTATATCTTTCTTATAGTTCAATTCTATCAGACGTGAAACTTTTTCTCACTTTTTACTCACACTTGGCCCCTAACATCTCTAAAACCATATCCGTTTTAATTCTTTTGTCAATGCTTTTTCAGGCTCATCCAGGTTTGTCAGATTTGGAGAAGAAGAAGCTATGCAAACTGCTTGATTTCCAAAAGCTTTCACAAGAAGCTGGGGCTCATGCTGCACAAAATGAGCGTCTACCCCTACAGTCAATAGTTCAGGTTCTTTACTTTGAGCAGTTGAGGTTAAGAAATGCCTTGTGCTGCTCCTCTGTTGAAGATGACCCTAGGCCAATGCATCAGTCATGGCGCATGAGCAGTGGAGCTCTGAGTGCAGCAATGTCTCCCCGAGACAACTATGCATCATTGAGACGAGAAAATCGCGAGTTAAAACTCGAGTTAGCTCGGTTAAGAATGAGATTAAATGATCTGGAGAGAGACCATGTGTTCTTGAAAAGGGATATGGCAAAGTCTGGCTCAAGAAAATTTATGAGTTCTTTCTCAAGGAGGATCAGTAAGCTTAACTTCTTTGGACTTGGCTCTTCTAGAGGATCTAGTTCTCCTCCATCCAGGAATTCTCAGAGAATAGATTCAAAGGTGATTGGGAGAACCTGTGCTAGCACTGACTAGGTAAAATTGTAACAACTTGTTGAACTGGATTCTCTACAATAGTAATGCATTTGGAGAAACACACAAAAGAATGTAATTGTATATCATCAGACTCACTTGTACTTTTTACACTGATCCTCTCTTTTTATGAATACATTATTTTATGACTGATAGATTCTGATCGGTAACTTGATTACTCTATTTGCTTTCTTGTTTTAATTTTCATCGTACATGCTTCTTGTGAAAAAAACTACAAGTCCTTCCATTAGGCTCTTTCCAACAAGCTTCATCGTAATGTTTTGGTTCAGGGCATCCAATCTCTGTTGGCCTGTTCCTGTCCTACAAGCTTCCATGTTTCTGATGATGATTACTTCGGTTTTTTTTCCCTGGTTTAATCTTAGCACTATATCTTTGTAATATTCTGTGTTGTCAGTGACGTGTTGCTCCCCATACTCCAAATTTTTTTGAAAATAGGTATAATTTTGTTTATAAAAAATGTAAAAATCATTGTTAGCTCTCCACATTTGGATAAAATTTCAGTCATGGCCCTCACATTTGGATAAAATTTCAATTTGTCCCTCACGTGATGAATTCTGGATTCAGCCCTGTGTGTTGTACCTTTTTACTTTATTAATTTACATATCATTGACTTTTCTTATAAAAAGAAAAAAAGGAAAATAAAAAACTACCAAGTCATGTTTGTGAATACAAGTGTCATTTCATTTTGTTTACCTTCATTTCTTTCTTTATTGGCCACCTTGTATATTTGCAGTGACATTTGTTAGTATAACAAAATGCTCTCTATGATTTCAAGTTCAGGTTTCTTGTGATTGCTGAGTTTTGTCTGGTTAAAAACACACGTGTATTTATAAAAAAAAATTGACACAATTTAGATCTCGTTTGCTTATTAAAAAGAAATTAAATGAAATGGATTAAAAAAATAAAAGTAAAAATAAGATGATTAAAGAAGATAGTGAATATATTTATAAAGGATAGGGGTAATTGAGAATCATAATTCTTGAGATTTTTTGTGGATGTGATGATTCAAACATTTATAGTATATATTAGTGAATTTTATTATGTTTATTATGAGGGAAGAGGGATTCAGTTCATTTTTATCTTAATTTTTTCAATCTATTACATTTCTTTCTAATAATCAAAGGAGACTCTAGTGCTCAATTGTATTTTGAATAGAATTACCTTCAATAAGATGATATTTGTGAACAATAAAAAAAAATGTTAACACAAATTTGTTGTCAAATTTGTCACAGAACTTTATGTTGAACCTCTTTTTAAAATGTTTGTTCTTTTTTTATTTTATTATATTATATTAAAGTAAACAAGATTATATTAGAATATCACGGTGAAATAACCAAGGTGAAAAGTTAAAATGCAAAAAAGAAATAATCCTCATCTAAAAAACTGATGTCAAAGTGAAGAAAGCAAGTAAATGAGGAAAAAATGTCCAACAGCACATCATGATTTTAGTTTTTATGAAGTTGTTCTTTTATAATAAGTTTGTTGTGAACGCAGTTTAATCTTAAAAAAGTTGGAGGGAGATTATAATTTTTCTGAAAATTGAAAATTCAGCCAATGACTTTGTAAGTTAGTAGTCCTTATAGGTGGAAGTTTGCTCGTTCAATCGCGCTTATAATTTCAAACTGATAATGCATGCCCTTTAATTAAAATACAGAAGAAAATTGAAAATCCACCATAGAGCTTAATGGAAGTAAAGATGATAAGGCCATTTAAAATTTAAAAAGGGCGCATCTAATTATAAGAAGACCAGACAATAAATTTTTTAATGTTATGTTTGGATATGTATGAATTTAGATTTAGATCAAATCTTTTGTTTGGATACTTAAAAATTTATGGATTTACATTTACTCTCATGAATTACATGAATTTCAAATTTGTAAAATATGATATTTTAAATTTAAAATTTAAATTCAAATTCACTAATTCAAATACTACCTAAAAGTTATTGTTTGAGCCAAAAGGGGGATGATTATTGATTTGTTGTAACATATAACTTGATAAGTATTTTGATCATCCTTTTCCTTGAGTACTTTTTTTTTTTTTAAATTTCCGCAAGTTAATCCCATAGGCTCACAAGAATCTCTCAAATCAATTAAGAACTTTTTTACCTTGTTATTCAACATATATTAAGTTTTTTATTTTTTTCTGTCCAAGACATATATTCATTTTAATTAATAGTATTTTAGTATATGCATTTAAATTTAAAATTAAGCTAAAACATGTATTTTAACTATCGAAATAACTTGCGTAGTTTTTAATTTAAACTCAATTAAAAGGAGATAACATATAATTTAATAAGTTGTCACAATATCCCTATTTAACCGTTTTAAAATCCCATACCATAAAGTTAAAAAGTACCATATTTATGTTTAAAATGATCTTATAAAATTTATATGACAGCATATTCTATTTTATAATTTATTACTCCATAAATATCAAAAAATTAAATAGAAAATTTTATTCCAAAATTTATTACTTGTGTAAATATTAAAAATAAAAATAAAAATATATTTCAATTTGGAATTTATTATTTTATCATTTTTGACTAAATCTCACCCCCAATAAAGTAGTTATCTACTTTTAAACTAATCTTATCTTTTTATATTTATCCCTATTAAACACCCTACAATAAATATAAAGTCATTCATTAATAGGGGCACTTTTGAAAAAAAGGCCATGATTACATATTGAAAGACTAAAAATATCTTATATTTTTTAACATTCAATTCTTCAAAAAATGCCTTATATTTTTGAACGGAGGGAGTAAATATTAAAAATATAAACAAAAATATATTTCAATTTGGAATTTGTTATCTTATACTCCATCTGATCCTATATATAAGTCATGTTCTACATATAATTATATGAAAAATGAGAATATGAAAAAAATTATCTGAAAATGTAGATTGTTAATTAACTTTTTTTTTTTGACCATTTCACATTTTTTTAGAAGTGAATCGTTTTTTTTTTCAATTTTATCATTTTACAATTTTATAGAAGTAGAGTAAAATGTTACCCAAGTATGATAAAAAAAATATTTTTGAAGATACTATATTTAATATGGATTCTCAATTTTTTTTCTCTTTAAAACAAATTCAGTGATTTAACTAGTTAAAAATGATGTTGAAAACAAAAATGATGGTACATGTAAAAACGCACGTTAAATTAATTGTGTAAATAGATAGAAACAAGGAAAAATTAGTGAAAAAGACCAAATTAGAATCAAAATTGGGACCAAATGTATTTGAAAACCAAGTCTATTATTATATTCATAAAATAATCTCAATATTGACCAAAATGCCCTGTGTGAAATCCTCTTTTCACATGCCCTAATCGGAGAACCATTGAAACAACTTTGAAGCTACTAAGCTTGAAGATGATTGGCAATGGTGACTCCTCCCACTGTTGTTGCCTCTGCCTATTAAAGGTGATTGGAAACTCCTCCCTCTGTCGCCTCCTTATCCATTACCTTAGATCTCACTCCAAATCCCACTATGTCATATGTGAAACCATAAAATCTATGTTTTCGACTATGGAGGATGCCAGCAAAATGAGCTACATCACTAGACAAGGCTTGAACATGGCAAGGTGTGGCCTAGTTATGGATTAAGCCAAAAGGCTGATGTTTGTAATTGTCAAATCTCAAATTTATATCTTTGGTAAAGAAGAATTGCAAAGGTGAAATCACTCAAGTTGAAGAATCCCAATAAAACGCTTTTGTTCATTTGACAAAAAGAAATAGAATGACCTCTCATTGTGTAAAATTAAGAAGATTGAATCCCTCAACTGCAATAAAACTATCTCATGCTATTTTTTTTTTTTTTGGAATTTGTTCATGTTAAATCTCTGATGTCATCTTTATTTTATTCTTCTCTAATTTTCACATATTGATATTAGACATTAGCAAATGGGGATAAATGTTCAAAGAATCACAAAGAGAGCTATATATATTTATAGGTATAAAATGGATGTCTGCTTCAATTTTTTGACTTTGATATTTGATAATCAAATAATATTATCTAAACTTGACTTACATGCTGCTCCTCATCAACAAAAACTTCATATCCATGTAATATAAATGCTTCTAGCGTGTTCATATTCTTTAGACTTGTGTGACTTGAATGATAAAGATGATGCTTAAACAACAATTATTTAAAAAGTATTATCATTTATTATAATATCAACAAAATAACTATTATACAAAGATAAGAATAACTCTTCATTGTCTTTGCAAATTAGCTTTTGTAGCTCTTAGTTTTACTAACATTTGAGGATAAACTCAACATTCTCAAAATTAAAGTCAATTTCACCAATTATATACATTCAAATGTGATCAAATCTCATGTCTTCTACATTTTTTTTTTGCTAGCTCATGTATTCTACATAAAAACAAGACTTATGCATCCATAATTAGAGAGTGTTAATTAACCAAATAAAATAATAAGAGAGCTTTAGTTTAAAACACACAGTCTTTAAGTTTACTCCCCTTTTTCTTTTAAATCAAAGTCTCTATGGTGTAAATTAGTTTCGTAATATTATAAATTAATTGAGAACTCTTTCATGCACTTCTTCCACCCAATCAATTTTTGTCAATTTTATTTATCTTCATCTTTCTGTTGTAACAGGATTCAAGGTATAATAATCTGTATATATGCTTATACTAGTTTGTATTTTATAACTTGGTCAATCCAAACATTGATTTTGATAAAAATTGTACCGTGCTTTGTTTTTCATTTGCACAACGATTATCTAGCCCTAGAATATGCATTACCCAATCAATTAACCTTGAAGGTTGATGTTTATAGCTTTAGAGCTCTTGTAATAGAAATAATTAGTAGTAAAAGCATTTAAGGGCAACTTGGGGAGAAACTAAGAAAGTCCTCTTGAAATGGATAAGTTTCGTTTCCTACTTTTGTAAGGTGCCATGCAATATAAGACAAATACATATAATGATTCCTTGATGCTTTTTCACTCATAAGTTCCCACGTTTTCTTTCATTAGTTCAGTCATGACCATGATTTCTCACTTGCTACTCAGTACCTTGGATAAAAAGCACATGATTGACTAGTGAAGGAGAATATGCTCATAATCATTTCATTTTAGATAAACATCTTATACCTGAATGTAGCATGGCATGAATGACCTACTTGTGATAGCCACTAATTTTCATTTTAAGCATAATGCTTTGGACGCATTGAAGTATAAGATTTTGTTTGAAGATAAGAAAAATAAGTTCAAGTCAAGAAAATCTTACAAATTCAACTCATGTATATCATAAATCAAGTGAGTTACAAGAAAATATTGATTAAGCGATTCCCCTGAAAGATTGAATGAAATTATAATTGTACTTTGAAGCATATTTATGACTATCCCCCTTATTTATTTTGTTTGTATAGAGTAGGATGTAGTTTAATGTGGGCATGATATTATTCTTAACCCCTCATGGTATATTTTTTTAATATGGGGTACCATATCGTCTTTGTTTATCATTTTAATCGTACTTGACAGAAAGATAAACCAACTTAATGGCATTAATGATCTTTCATTGAAATTATCGCCATTCATTCTCACTCTTCACGTTTACTTGTTTTCCTGGGATAATTGAATTATCCTCCATGTTACATTATTAAATCTGCATCTTTTATAAATTAACATAGCTTATTATACAATGTATAATACTTAAAAAGAAAGAACTTATTGTAAGAGTTCCCTTATTTGTATTTTGTATCAAGTAAGATGTGGTTTAATATAGGCATGATGTTGTTCTTACTTCTCATAATATATTTTGTGATTTAGGATACCAGAACCAAAGGGTGAAAGGATTTTGGCTAAAGGTGTGAGGGTTTTGGCTTAGATGTAAGAGGTATGGCTTGGGTACAAAACTTATGACTTAAGATGCACATGTTATGGCTTAGGGTGTAAGGCTTCTGGGTTAGGTGCAAGAGGTATAGCTTAGGTGTAAGGCTTCTAGTTTAAGGTATATGTGTTGTGGCTTAGGGTGTAAGGGATTTGGTTTAGGGTGCACAGCTTCTAGCTTAATAATTTTCATATAATTCATAGTTGTTTTCATATAATTTAGAGACACTAACAGTGGTGTACTTTCTATGTGTTTGATTTACATGTAATCTGCTAGATATTACATATAAGTTATTCTTTAAGCATGCTTGTGAATTTCTTCATATACTGATTTACATGTAATCTATAGTCGTTTTCATGTAACACATGAATGCTGATAGCGTGCCCTTTATATGTTTGATTTACATATAATCAGCTAGAAATTACATGTAAATCATTCCTTTGTCATGCTCGTGAGTTTTTTCACATATTGATTTACATGTAATCCATAATCTTTTTCATGTAATTTTGGGAATTGATAGGGGCGTACTCTCTTTGTGTTTGATTTACATGTAATCCGCTAGAGATTACATGTAAATTATTCTTCAAGCATACTTGTGAATTTTTTTTATTGATTTATATGTAATCAACAATCATTTTCATGTAATTCTAGGGGATTAACAAGGGCGTATTCTCTATGTGTTTGATTTTCATGTAATTCACTAGAGATTACATGTAAATTATTCCTTAGGCATATTTGTGAATTTTTTTCCATATTAATTTAAATGTAATCTATAATCCTTTTCATGTAATTATAGGGTTATTGACAGTGGGTCATCTCTATATGTTTGATTTACATGTAATCCACAAGATAATACATGTAATTGGTCAAACTAGAAGCCTTACACCTTAAGCTATAACACATGCACCTTAAGCCAAATCTCTTGCATACTAAGCCATATCTCTTGCACTTTAAGTCAGAAGTCTTGTACCCAAGCCATAACTGTTGCACCTCAAGTTAGAAGCTTTACACTTAAGTCAGAAGCCTTACACCCAACTCATAATCCTTGTACCACAAGTAAGAATGCTTGCACCCAAGCTAGAACCTATGCACCTTAAGTCAAAATCCTTATACTCTCTACTTATTGAGTTTACATGTAATCCATGATGATTATTTCTAATCAAGGAGTGTCGATTTTTTTCGATGACACTTTCCAGCAACTTTTTACTTGCTGGCCAAAGCTTCGATGATTGAATTTTATACCTTTTTAGAAAAAAAATTAACATAAAGGGGTATTTCAATCATTTACTCAAATTATTTAATAAATAAAATATTACCCTTAGTCCTTTAAGTCCATTTGGTCCCTAGAACCAATTTTATTTTTAACTAGGTCATTTTCACCAAATTTTCTGAGAAATAATTTATTTTATTAAATTTCATAAAGTAATTGATAATTGAAAAAAAAAAAAAGGAAAGTAGTGAAGAGGGAAGGGCAAAAGGGGGGCAAAAATTGTAGGACTATACAATACACGGATTCACATTAAGTGTTTATCGCGTTGATAAGCATCGTGTGCTCATCACTCAAATGAGTGATCTAGGCCATTCATTTAAACTCAAAATCATATCTGTCGTTGATTTTAAATTGATTTTTAAATATTTTAATATTATATTTGTTAAAATAAATTAAAAAATGATAAAAAGTTTAATATTAAATTTCAACTGTCAAAAGTATATTTAAATAATTAATTTATAAAAATTATAAAAAATTAATATTAATATTAAATTTGATTGTCATTTATCTGTACTGTCCAGAGTATATTTAAATAATTATAAAAATATAAAAAATATATATTAAATAAAATTATTCACATTAAATCTGTATTGATAAAATTAATGATGAACATATTAATTAAAATTTGACATTTTTTATACATTAAAACTTGAATTTGCACTGTCCGGGTTCCAACAGACGTGATGGGTACCATAGCATTCATCATCTAAATAGCATTGAAAATAGTCTTGATTTAATATTAAAATTTTTTATAATTTTTATTTTAACAAATATAATATTTAAATATTTAAAAGTTAATTTAAAATAAAAAATAAAGATGATTTTGAGTTGAAACGAATCCGAATGCTAAATTGCGAATACACAGGAAAGAGCGGGTCAGATGAGCCAAATCGGGAACGCAGCATCGGTCTTTCCCCTTCACAGCTTCACATCCTTTTCTTCTTTGTCCAGGTTAACTAAAATCGACGGCGGCGCGCGACGTTCGGCGTTCTCTCGCTGTCTTTCTCTCGCTCTCTGTCTGAGGGCTTATTGTGGAAATCCCTTCTGCTTCTACATTTCAGAGGTGCGAGTTCTGCTGTAGCTAGTTTGTTGTCACTTGTTTATACTGCCCGAGTTTCCAATTGTTATATCCATGCTCGTTTAGGTGGTGGAATAATATAATAGGAGATTGAAGTGCTATCGGAAATCATTGTCTTCTTCTTTTTGTCTAATTTTCCGGGAATAACTCATGCCTGCATTTCTAAACTTTGTTTACGTGAGTTTTGTTTGTTTGGCTGTTTGTTTTTCCTGTCCATGATTGCTGAAAATCTGTTTTCAGTGGTTTGGTCTGTGCTGGTGGACTTGTGTCTTCAACTTTCTTTGGTAAATTTATGAAGCTGAATGCGTAACTGTGCGACAGCAGTGGTGGCCATAGTTAGATCAGCAAATGGCTATTCAATTCAGTGTTTGTTGAACGATAACTTCTTTGTGGTTTCAAATCAAGCCTTGTTGCCTGAGCTTGGGAAAGTTGAAATATAGTTGTTATTTGAGTTGGTGTGCCTGTTCCGTCTCCGTTAAATAAACATAATTGAGATGAGCTATACTGTTGTGTGGGTTTCTACAATTTATATAAATATATGAATGTTTATCATGTAACGTGGGAGATTGCTTTAATCTTCTTGCTTCAATAATTATCTAATGTGCACCTGACCTCATCTCTGTTTGTCTCCCTCAACCCTTCTCCAGAGTTTAAGAGCAGCTTACCCTCTTCAGCAAAGATTGCTGCTTTCATGCCAGTGCTGACTTTTGGTACAGTTACTTCAGTAAGTAATTTGTATCGAATTTGCAGAAATGGCAGTGTGTTTGTGAATTCTTCTTCACTTTGTGCTCCTAAGACTATGGATTTGACAGATGCTAGTGAAGCCCATGATTGTAATTACATAGAATTGCAGCATATAATGCAGAATTATGCTACCTCAGGTTACTTTGAAAAAGCTATGGAGACACTGCGTTGCATGAGAAATATAGAAGGGAAGCCTACTGTTTACGATTATAATGGTTTGATTTATTGCTATTTGAGATCCCATAATGTATCAACGGACAAGCTAGAGCAGTTGTATCAGGGAATGAAAAGGTTTGGTCCCGTTCCAAATGCATTAACCTTCAACACACTTCTTAATGGACTGTTGTCTCTCAGTAATCTGAAAACTGCGTTTTTGATTGTGAAAGAGATGCACAGTAGCGGGTTTGTCCCGTCATTCAGCTTATTGTCAAGAATGTTGAAAAAATGATATACTCTGGGCATTTTATTGATTCTCTCAATATGTTTGACTTCATGATGCGGTTGAAGTATTATCCTACTCAACACACTGTAGATTCTTTGGTTTCCATGCTTGCTAATGCTGGGATGATCCGACAAGCATATTTTGTATTGTCTACCCTTCTAGAAGAGGATCACTTCTGTGGTACACATAATTATAATAAAATTCTATGGGCTATGTGCAAGTCTAACCAGAGTTATGCTGCTCTACAACTATTGTATTTAATGAAAAAGAAAGGCATAATCCCCAATATTTGCTCTTATACTGCTTTAGTATATGGATTTTGTAAAGAAGGTTGGTGTGAAGAAGATCTTCTACACTGTCTAGATGACATGGAGAGTGATGGTTGCAAGCCCAATGTCAAAACATACACTATAGTCATCAAATTTCTGTGCGATAATGGGAGAATTGAACAGGCACTAGAATACCTGGCCAAGATGCAATGTAGCGGATGTGAACCAGACTTGACCACCTATAATGTAATTCTTCGTGAACTTTGTCATCAAGATAGGGAGGATGATGCTGTGGAACTCCTTCAGGTGATAAATCAGAAAGGATATCTTCCTAGTCCACATACCTGTGCTGCTTTATCTGGAGGCCTGTTGAAAATAGGGAAATCAAGGGTTGTACCTTTGTTAGCGTGCAAGCTTACATGTTTCTGATGATGACTACTTTTCCATTTTCAGTTTTTTTCTCCATGGTTTAATCTTAGCATTTTATCTTTGTAATTTTTTGTGTTGTTGCTTTTTACTTTATTAATTTTTATATCATTGACTTTTCTAAAAAGAAAAAAAAAACTACAAATCTTGCTTGTGAATAAAAGCATCATTTCATTTGTTTAAGAAAAATTGCGTGTAGATCTCATGAAATAGATTTATTATAATAAGTTTCACAAAATTTAAAAATCACAATCAAGATCTTTGAGATCTGAATATAATTTAAAATTAGGGTGCAAAAATAATGCGTATATTAAAAGTACATTCTATAAGTTAAATAATTTATAACTAGTTTATCATTAATTTACAATTATCATTTTAATTTTTTATAACTGTAATTTCAACTTCTTACATTAAATATTTAAACATTTTAATTGTTAGATATGTAAAGTTATAATTGTAAAAAATTAAAATGATAGTTATAAATTAGTGATGGAGTAGTTATAAACAATTAGTGTTAAACTTTTAATAATATATGATTGATTTAACTATTAAATATGTAAAATTATAGTTGTAAAAAGTTAAAGTGATAGTTGTAAATTACTAATAAAATGGTTATAAATTATTTGATTGATATAATGTATTTTTTATAAGAGCATTATGGCCTGCTGACCTCGATTTCAAATTATACTCAAATCTTACGGGATCTAGCTATAATTTTTGAATTTTGAGGAACTTATTTATAAATAAGTCTACTTTATAAGATTTACATGTAATTTTTCCTTTTGTTTATTTGCATTTCTTTCTTTATTGGCCACCTTGCATATTTACATTAACATTTGTTAGTATAACAAGATGCTCTCTGATTTCAAGTTCGTTTCTTGTGATTATTGAGTTTTGTCTAGTCACATGCACGCACGCATTTATAAAAAATTTTCATACAATTTAAGCTTCGATTGTATTTCAAATATAATTGCCTTTAATAAAAGAATACTTATAAGTAATAAAAAAAATATTGATAGTCCGATTTGTCATAAAACTTTACGTTAAATTTCTTTATGAAATGTTTGTCCTTTTTTATTTTGAGAAAAAAAATAAATATTTATATTAAAGTAAAAAGATTTAAATTACAATAACAGCATGAAATGACCAAGGTGAAAAATTAAAATGCAAAAGAAATAATTCTCTGATGTCAACTTGAAGAAAGCATGAAAACAAGGGGGGGTAAAAAAAGTCTAATCTCACATCATGATTATTATGGCTTTTATGAAATTGATCCTTCAAAATAAGCTTGCTGACTTGCTGTGAATGCAGTTGAGTCTCAAAAAAGGTTAAAGGAGGATTATAATTTTTGTGAAAATTGAAAATCCAACCAATGGCCTTGTAATTTAATAATTTTTGTAAGTAAAAAGTGGTGATTTCATTTTCGTTTATAACTTCAAACTGCTAGTGTCTGTCCTTTAATTAAAAAAACAACAGAAAATTAAAAATTCACCACAGAGCTTAATGGAAGCAGAGATGATAAGACCATTTAAAAGGGATGCATTTAATTATAAGAAAATCACATAATGAATTTTTTATTGCCATGTTTGGATATATATATATATATATATATATAGAAATTTGGATTTGGATCAAATCTCTGTGTGGGACACTTAAAAATTTCTTGATTTGGATTTACTTATATGTATATGAATTTGAAATATATGGATTTTAAATTTAAAATTTAAACAATGAGATTTTAAATCCAACATTTAAAGCCACATTTACTAATCCCAACATACTGAAAGTTGTTATTTGTGCCAAAAGGAGATGGCTATTGATTTGTAAGTTGTAACTTGATGAGTATTTTGATCATCCTTTTCTATGAATAATTTTTTATTAAAAAGTTTAGGCAAGTTAATTCCATTAGCTCATAAGGAGGAGTTGGCTTTCCTCCTCCTACCAATTCCTCTTCCTCCCCTCCTCTCAACTTCTCCACCCTTGGATCACTCAAATCAATGGAAAACTCTTTTTGTTATCTTATTATTCAACATATATTCAAGTCTTTTTTTTTTTATTTTTTCTGTCCAAGACATATATTCATTTTAATTAATAGTATTTTAAATTGAAGATCGGATTATACCTCAAGTAAAAAAATTTAAGTATTTTAGAACTATTATTCAACTTGATAAGAAAATGGACAGAGATATTGCCCATGAGATACAAATAGGATGGTTTAATTAAATAAAGGCTAAATGAGTTATTTACGATATTTAATAAACTTAAAGAAAAGTTTTATCAAATTGTTATAAGATCAATTATGTTATATGGGAGTGAATGTTGGGCTTTAATAAGATAACAAAACATAAAGTTGGATTAGCAGAAAAGAGAATGTTGAGATAGATGTGCAAATATACACATAAAGATAAAATTTGAAATGAAGACAAACAAGAGAAAGTGGGCGTAACACTTATTGAAAAAAAAATGGTGAAAAATCATTTGAGATAATTTAGACATGTACAAAGAAGACTGTGAAAAGCACCAATGAAGAAAGTGAAACCAATAATTTTCAACCTTATTAAGAGAGGTGGAGGAAGGTCAAAGATAATACTTATGAAAGTTATTGACAAAAATTTCTTAGTTAAGAACATTCCTAAAAGCTTGATAAATGATAGGGTATAATGATGTTGTATAATTTATCTAACTAATCCCACCTAGTGAGATAATGCTTGTTATTGTTATTGTAGTATTTCAATCTAGGCATTTAAAATTAAGCTAAAACATGTACTTTAAAAATCAAAATAACTTGTGTAGTTTTTAATTTAAACTCAATTAAATGAGATAACATATAATTTAGTAAGTTGTCACGATATCCCTATCTAACCGTTTTAAAATCCTATATCTTAAAGTTAAAAAGCACCATATTTATGTTTAAATTGATCTTATAAAATTTAGATGTCAACATATTCTATTTTATAATTTATTACTGCATAAATATCAAACACTTAAGGGCAAATTTTATTCCAAAATTTATTACCCGTGTACATATTTAGAATATAAACAAAAATATATTTTAATTTGGAATTTATTATCTTATACTAATCCTATATATAAGTTATCTTTTAAAAGTAATTATATGAAAATGTAGATTGGTAATTACTTTTTTTTAATTACATCATTTCACAATTTTATAGAAGTAGATTCCTTATTATTTTTTTCAATTTTACCATGTTGCAATTTTCTAGAAGTACAGTAAAATTTCACCCGAGCATGATAAGAAAATTCTTTTAAAGATACTATATTTAATATGGATTCTCAATTTTTTTTCTCTTTGAAACAACTATCAATGATTTAACTAGTTAAAAATGATGTTCCATGTTTTTTCAAGAGAAAATAAAGATGTTGGTGTGTAAAAATGCATGTTAAATAAAATGTGAGGGATTTTTTGAGATGTAATTCTAGCTAGTAATTGTGGTGTGTTGAGTTTTGAGATAGAAGGAGATTTTGTTGTTGTAATTGGTATTTTGAAGAATTTGTTTGATGGCGGTGCACCTGTGAATCGGCTCCAGAAATTGTTGATCAAGGAGCTAAGGTGATTTAATAAAGTTTGCTTATCTCATGTTTATATAAAGAAGGAAATTGATATATAGATAGATTAATTAATATGAACTTGGCTTATAATTTTGATATTGTTATTTGTAAGGTTGCTCTTGATAATTGTATAGAGATTTTACACAGAAATGCCTTGGATGATATGCACCCAAGAGATGTAAAGTTGCAATTTGGTTGTTTTGCCCCAATTATTACCACAAAAAAAAAATGCATGTTAAATAAATTGTGTAAATAGATAGAAACAATTTATTTTATTAGAATTTAAAAGGTGATAAAAAAGGAAAGCGGCAAAGAGGGGAGAAAAAAATTGCGGGACCTTACCGTACACAGGAAAGAAAGGGTGAGGTGGCCAAAACGGAACGCAGCATAGGCCTTCCCCCTTCACGGCTTCGCATCCTTTTCTTCATTGTCCAAGTACTAAAATCGACGGCGGCGCGCGACGTTCGGCATTTTCTTGCTGTCTTTCCGTCGCTCTCTGTCTCAGGCCTTATTGTGGAAATCCCTTCTGCTTCTACATTTCAGAGGTACGAGTTCTGCTGTAGCTAGTTTGTTGTCACTCGTTTATACTGCCCGAGTTTCCAATTGTTATATCCATGTTCGTTTAGGTGGTAGGATAATATAGTAGGAGATTGAAGTGCTATCGGAAATCATTGTCTTCTTCTTTTTGTCTAATTTCCCGGGAATAACTCATGCCTGCATTTCTAAACTTTGTTTACGTGAGTTTTGTTTGTTTGGCTGCTTGCTTTTCCTGTCCATGATTGCTGAAATCTGTTTTCAATGGTTTGGTCTGTGCTGGTGGACTTGTGTCTTCAACTTTTCTTAGGTAAATTTATGAAGCTGAATGCGTAACTGTGCGACAGCAGTGGTGGCCAGAGTTAGATCAGCAAATGGCTATTCAATTCAATATTTGTTGAACGATAACTTCTTTGTGGTTTCAAATCCAGCTTTGTTGCCTGAGCTTGGGAAAGTTGAAATATAGTTGTTATTTGAGTTGGTGTGCCTGTTCCGTCTCCGTTAAATAAACATAACTGGAATTCACCTCATGTATCTGGAATTTGAGATAAGCAATACTGTTGTGTGGCTTTCTACAATAATTATCTAATGTGCACCTGACCTCACCTCTGTTTGTCTCCCTCAACCCTTCTCCAGAGTTTAAGAGCAGCTTACTCTCCTCAGCTAAGATTGCTGCTTTCATGCCAGTACTGACTTTTGGTACAATTACTTCAGTAAGTAATTTGTATCGACTTTGCAGAAATGGCAGTGTGCTTGTGAATTTTTCTTCACTTTGTGCTCTCAAGACTATGGATTTGACAGATGCTAGTGAAGCCCATGATTGTAATTACATAGAATTGCAGCATATAATGCAGAATTATGCTACCTCAGGTTACTTTGAAAAGGCTATGGAGACACTGCGTTGCATGAGAAATATAGAGGGGAAGCCTACTGTTTACGATTATAATGGTTTGATTTATTGCTATTTGAGATCCCATAATGTATCAACGGACAAGCTAGAGCAGTTGTATCAGGGAATGAAAAGGTTTGGTCCCGTTCCAAATGCATTAACCTTCAACACACTTCTTAATGGACTGTTGTCTCTCAGTAATCTGAAAACTGCGTTTTTGATTGTGAAAGAGATGCACAGTAGCGGGTTTGTCCCGTCATTCAGCTTATTGTCAAGAATGTTGAAAAAATTGATATACTCGGGGCATTTTATTGATTCTCTCAATATGTTTGACTTCGTGATGCGGTTGAAGTATTGTCCTACTCACCACACTGTAGATTCTTTGGTTTCCATGCTTGCTAATGCTGGGTTGATCCAAAAAGCATATTTTGTATTGTCTACCCTTCTAGAAGAGGGTTACTTTTGTGGCACACATAATTATAATAAAATTCTATGGGCTATGTGCAAGTCTAACCAGAGTTATGCTGCTCTTCAACTATTGTATTTAATGAAAAAGAAAGGTATAATCCCCAGTGTTTGCTCTTATACTGCTTTAGTGTATGGCTTTTGTAAAGAAGGTTGGTGTGAAGAAGATCTTCTACACTGTCTAGATGACATGGAGAGTGATGGTTGTAAGCCCAATGTCAAAACATACACTATAATCATCAAATTTCTGTGCGATAATGGGAGAATTGGACAGGCACTAGAATACCTGGCCAAGATGCAAAGTAGAGGATGTGAACCAGACTTGACCACCTATAATGTAATTCTTCGTGAACTTTGTCATCAAGATAGGGAGGATGATGTTGTGGAAATCCTTCAGGTGATAAATCAGAAAGGATATCTTCCTAATCCACATACTTGTGCTGCTTTGTCTGGAGGCCTGCTGAAAATAGGCAAATCAGGGGTTGCTTTTGAGATATTACGTTGTGTAATTTCAAAAGGCTGTGCTCTGGATATTGCAGTTTTAAACATATTATTCCACTGTCTATGTCTTGAGGGAAGATTGCAAGAAATGATATCTTTGTTGAAAATAATGATGGAAGGTGGATTTTCACCAAATAATGTTTCATATAACACAATTTTGAAGGCATTTGCTCAAGAGAATCTTGAAGAAGCTTTTAAGCTCTTGGATTGTTTTGAGTGGGGTGCTAATAAACCAGATTCCATTTCCTTTAATACAATTTTGTGTGCTGCATGTAAACAAGAGAATTCACCAATTATTGGGAGAGTCTTGTATCGCATGGAGTGTGAAGGCATTAAGCCAAATGCTATTGGTACATCTTGTTTAATTCAGTACTTCTGCAAAGTGGGGAGATTCTCTGCATGTCTGGAGCTTCTAGAATTGATGCTGCGTGATGGTTTTTATCCAGCAGTTACTTTTAATGTGGTTCTGGGCCAACTTTGCAAAAATGGGTCACTTAAGACTGCATGCGACTTTTTAGATGTCTTCAGAACACTTGTTTTCCACCTGATATTGTTTCATATAACATTCTTATACATGCTTCAATTAGAGAACGCAATAAGTTGCTTTTAAGCGAATTATTCAAAGGCATGTATAGGCAGAAACTGAGACCTGATTGTTTTACTTATGGATCCATGATAGGTGGTTTTTGTAGGGAAGGAAAAATATCAGCTGCCCTGCAATTAAGAAAGCAAATGCTTGAGAATGGGATTGTTCCAGGCATTGCGATATACAACACCATACTAAAAGCAATGTTCCAAAGAGGCAAGTTTTGGGATATTATTTGGTTATTAAAATATATGGCCATGGAAGGGTGTCAACCTGATAAGATTACATGTGAGATTCTCAAACAAGCTACATCAAAAGGCTGGTTGAGGAGATATCCTGAGCTCGCAAGAATACTAGAGTTTGTGATACATGATAAATAAGAAATAAAATCATCATTGACTGGCATTGTTGTTTTTGTGGCATGTTGGCAATTTTTCTTGGTAGGCTCAGATTGGGCACCATCTGATCTTGATGACCATAATTTTGTGTGGCCTTCAAGACTCAGTTTTTGTCAAGGTAAAAAGGTTTGACCCTGATCTTTTTATGGTTTCATATTTTAATTCTTAGTTTTGTGTCTCACCAAGAACAATTGGGTCCTCATTGTAAATAGTTATAGGGTATGGTGTATGTGCCACCCTACATGAAGAAGTTACTTTGTTTGGGTTAGGTTGTCTAGAGTATCTTGTCTGTTGTTCTAGGATGGAACAATGCCTTCTTATTCATGGGATTCTTTTTCTGCCAAATGTCAACGTTAGTCTGTAGTTGGGCATCTTTTTTCCTCCTTTTTTTCAATTTTAATAATTATTTTATTTGAATTTGCAGTTGTCATTGCATTCACCATATATGGACGTTGCAATGCATGCCCCGTCCTGTCCATCGTTCAAAAGATGACTTTCTTTTCCACTGGGTATGTTTCTGCTGGTTGTTCGTGCAGCAGATGTCATGTATCTGTTTATCTATTGTGGTGCAAACATGCGGTTCTCTTTCATGGATATGGTACTATCATTTTTCAAATTCTATATAGAAAAATATTGTACATTTATTCCATAGAATTTCTTCGGTTTTTTCTCATCATGCCTTCTAGTATTAAGTTGTTGATCAGAAAAATGAAGGCACTATGAATGGTCTTCTCCAAACCGCGAAACTAGATATGGATGTTACAGATTCATGAGCTCATCTGGGTCACAATTCTCCATACTAATGGTGCAATTAACCACTCCTGTTCATGTTTGCCTGCATGTCAGTCTTAGATCACTCATCTTTCTCTTCCATCCATAAGCCCAACTGATCTATTTGCCGCTGGTGGCATCATTAAGGTGGTAAGGTTTTCATGAGAAGCCACCAAGTTCACTTTTAGGATGCAACCCCCTTTTTTATTTTAGAAGTTGTCATGGGGAGGCTATTAGTTTCATAGAGAAGATTCATTTTTCCTGATTTTCTGACTATTTAAATTGTGTGTAAGTAATGCACTGTATGTGAATGGATTGTATTTATGCAATAAGGTTCTCTCAATTTAGAGGATCCCAGTCGCTTGCATGGGCACATGATGCAGCTGATTCTTGCATCCATCTCTGTGCAGACTGCAGAGCGAAGAAACAAAGTGATGGAGCTGGGTAGCACCAAAATGGTAACTTTTGCATAATTTTTTTTTTTTAATTCTGACTTGGCTTAGTATAATATACTTTCTTCTGTCTGCAATACAAGGCAGTTTCTAAAAGCTCTGTTTGGTCCAAAAATATAGGACAATATGTAATGTTTATAATTCTTTTCGAATTATGTCCTTCATTTATTATTACTTGATGTAATCAAGGAGTGTTGTAAAGGAGTTGAATACTTAAATGTCGACATTTATTTCACTCAAGGGTAAAATTGGAAAATACAAAACTATTGAGAAGATTAAGGCTTGAACTAACAATTTTTGAGAACCACAAAGTAGTTGACAATGTTTTTATATTGTGGACTGGAGGGGGTGAATGATTGTTGGGTTGAGTTGATTGCATAGTTCTGACTCTGAGTAATTCGCCCACAGAAATTGAGAGGGACCCTCAACTAGTTTTGAAAAGGTGTTTTCTACATGATACATTTTTACCTCATTTCTCCCTGATGAATGCAGAGTTTTATTGCAGGAAGATGTTAATGCTAACAGTTAATCCTTCCAGACCACCATATAAGGCATTTTTTAGAAGTCTTGCTTGGTTCAAAATGTAAAGCATTGGATAACTTTTATAATTGTTTTTTCAATTATACTCCTATTTCATTTATTACTCTTTTTGGAAAAAATGATGCATTGGAATTTTAATTATCATTATCAAAGCACTTATATAAGATATTTAGTAATGGTAAAATTAGAAAGATGTAATTTTTTTTTTCAGAAATCAAGGTTTAAACTAACATTTTTTTTGATAATCGCGAATTAGTTACTAATGCTCTATATTTTGATCCAAAGGGAGTAATTGTTTTCTGCTTTTGTTTTATTTCTTTGGACTTTGTTGTTGATGTAACTCCTCTCAAGCTTTAAGCTTTCTGCTTTTATTCTTTTTTTTTTTTACCTCATTTCTGTCATTGATAATACACCAATTTTGCTGATATTTGTTTCTCAATATCCCTTTTTGTTGCATTACTCTTATAATCGAATATCATTGAATCAGATGCTTCTTGAAATGGATTGGGATTGTGAAATCAAATTCAAGCGTTCACATCCTCCCTCAAACAAGCTTTTTATTCAATCTCCTTCCAGTGGTAGTTTGATCACTTAGATGTTCTTTCTCATCTTCCTCAAATTATAAGCAAAGTAAGATTTTAAAGAATAAAGATCATTCTCAAGACTAAAATGCTTCCCAACATGTTAAGCTTACAATGCATATGTTTTGCAGGTGGTGCTGGATATTTTCTTTTCCAAGGAAGAGGCATGAAGTGGCTTTGATTGACTTGGGGTTTCGTTGCTTATATACATAATTTTTTTTTTCCAACAATGCTTGTTACACCACAACATTGATTTTGTTGCAATGTGAAGGTAGAAGAGTTTCATAAGTTAGCATATTCATTCTGGGTCTGATTGATACACGTCATATCAGTTTTGACCATAGACTGAGGTAATTTTTCATCGGATTTAAGTTTGTATTTGTGAAGTTATTTATTAAACTAAGATATAATTTAGGATGTATATATCATTGTATGTATAGAGATATATTGCTGGATAAAATTGTGATAGGGATAAGGTGTCTTTCAATTTAGGTGAAGTTGTAGCTGTTGCAAAGTCGTGGTTGCTTGTGACTCAACAGATGTTGTTAATATGACCAGTGGAGGAAACTTCACTAAACATATGGATGCTAAATTGGTGGCAGATATGCGATTTGCAGTGTTTTCTTCTTTGAATTAGAATATTATTTTGAATCTTGTACATTTGAAAGCCAATGATTATGCCAGTTGGCTAGCTAAATCTTCTCATGATATTTATGTTAACTTTTTGATGTTCACCGATCCTTTGTTAGTTGGTAGGAGGTCATTGGATTTGGACAAATAAACTGGGGAGAATGACATTTAAGGCTCTCAAAAGGAAATTTATCATAATAAGGATCTATAAATTTTGCATTGAATATTGTCTTGTAAAAATACATATATGTTGCTCAATACTGAACATTGACTCCTTAAATTTATAAGAAAATCTTAACAAAAAATACAAGATTCAACTTTTAACAATAACATATACAATTTAACATTTTTTTTTTGCTCAAAAAAAAAAAAAGATTCAACTTTTAACAATAACATATACATGTTTTTACAAGACAATATTCAATGTATAACTTATAGGTGATGATAAATTCCTTTGAGAGGACCTTAAATGTCATTCTCCTAATAAACTGTGTAGCTTCTTCTGGTGTTTCTTTTTTAGCTGTATTATTTATTTACTTAATCTTAAAAAGAGGTAAAGCAAAGAAAATAACACATGTGGCTGCCTCCTGTACTGGATAATTGCTTTATCCTGAAGATCACCATGTGAGGACTTGATATGAATTCATGAAGAATGAAGCTCAACCACTTGTTATTGCAAGATGAAAGATCAGAAGCCAAGCCAAATGGTGCTCCCAAAGCAGGTTGGGTTCTGACTTGATATTGATGGTTCAATTAACAATTATGGTGCTGCTGTTTGTGGTGGACTATTCTAGGATGACAATGGAAATTGGATTAAGAATTTCTCAAAATATCTTGGCTACTGCTCCAGTACCACTACACAATTAATGGGTATTCTTGAAGGCCTCAAAATCTATTGGCATGGCAAATTTGACAAAGTTAATGTTTACTTTAAATATCTTAAAGTTCTCACTCATTTAACATGATTCCACGGTCACGGAATTTGTTTAGAAAAGCAAATGAGTATGTTGATTGGCTTGTACATCAAGTTTCCAATGATAATTTAGCTGTTAATTTCCCCCCCTACATTCCACCTAATGGATCTAGAAGCTTTTTGTATCCTAATTTGTCACCTTCCTACACATTTTTTTTTTCCTGTTGTGTTGTATTAAAAACAAGGGAAAGCCATCAACACATTATGCAAGGGAGTCAGATGTTGGTGATGGTGTTATTGATGATATGTAAAATATATGGATCATTGGAACCTTGTGAGCATATTGAGTATGATATATAAAATATTGTCCACTTGATTATGACCTCTGACGTCTGGTTCTTTTTAGGGGAATCTTTTATAGCTATTTTATAATAACTAATTTGTAACTCCTACTACTTGACTCAAGGAATACTGTTCAATGATATATAGATTATATATATACACACATTAAAAAATAATAATTAAATGTTAGATTTAAACAACTGTCTACACATTGATAATCGTTGGAGGCTTACAATTTCACAATGGATATTTAAATTTTCTAACTAAAATTTTGTTCACTAATTTTTTTCAAGTGAAATATGGCATGGAAGAGCCTGTTGCCAAAATGTAAATTTCGTAGGGATTAGTTGCAATTTCCAAGCAATGTTTTGGTGTGCACTCAAACTACTTTTGTGGTCATAAAAGATGCTAAAACTAATTTTGGCCACCAATTTAAATGACACCCGCCTACTCTGGGGTTCATTAGTATAGATACTGATCGTTCGGTTATGCCATATGGTAAAGCAGCATGTGGGGTGTTACTACAGAAGATCAAAGAATCTAGGTTTCAGGATTGTGCTGTAAATTAAAGGATGTCCTTCCAATTATAGCAGAAGTTCTTAGAATCAAACTTGGCTTAGAATTTTGCTGGTATCATAGGTTTACTAATATTGAAATCTTCGGTGACTGTTGTTGGTGTTCAAAATTTGATTTCTCGAGATCAAGTTTCTAATCATTCTTTTCAACATATTGCAAATGAGACTAAACTTCTATGCTGGACTTGAAATGTAAATTTGAATTTATTGTTTACAGAGGCCAATTGTATCGCACAATCTTTAACTAATAAATCCTGTCATTCCTTTAATAATGGTTTTACATCTTTAATCAAAAAACCGCCAATAAATGAAAATAGTTGATGAAAGATTTAGTTTTTTCCTTTAATTTGTATCTTGATGTTGTACTCGTTTTGAGTCAATTATATATTCTCAGTTTCATTTAAAAAAAAAAAACTTCAATATCCTCAATGCCATTGTGACATAGTGACAGATTGATCGTCCTTGCTTGTGACAAATCATGGGTTCAACCCTGCCTGCTAACACTTGTAAGGGGAAAAAGAACCTTTTTATACCCATAAATTTTCCTAAAAGGGTAACATTTTCACTGCTTTCCAGCTAACTACAAATGATGAATGCAATTCCCAGTTTGGTTCTCCTATCCCCCCCCCCAAACAAATGAATTATGTCACTGTATCAACCTTGAGGTGAAGAAAACTAGAGGTTACTATCAACCTCAAGAACAGGGTCGAGTTTAAAAGGAAATAGAAAATGTAAAGTTTCTACATAATTCATTCCCGCTTCAGTCAGACTGCACTGGCTCTGTAACTGGAGGTATACAATCCACCTTGTACCGTAACACCTATAATCCACGTAACGTAATATAATACATGTCAGAAAACCCTAGGGTTCTCATTTATCCATAGATTTATGGGGAAAAATGGCCTATTGAAGCACCACAAAACAATCACAAAAGAATGAAAAAGGATTCCAATCTTTTGTAGTTACAAAGCAACAGTATAAAGAGAAGTGAGCTCCACATTTAATAGTACATTTTTGTGCTTCCCCCATTCAATATTACAGAACGTGTTTTTTAAAGTATTCTGTTAAAAAATGTAAGGCATTTGAAGTCTTTCAAAATACAATTAATAAATTTTTTCTAAAAATACCCTCAACTAGGAGGTGTAATTAATAAAGTTTTTTGGGTTGAAACAACCTATTAAAAAAGAGTAAACATGGAAAGAGTATATAATTTTTAAGACAATCAACCAACTCAATACGAGATATAATTTGGTGAAAAATGCATTATAATATTGGACGGAGAGAGGATCACTCTTTTTATATAACTGCCTAACTGTGAAGAATTTAACTCAAGATGAAAAAAGAATTAAAAAGAAAATTAGGCAAGAGGACAAAGGCTCAAATAAAACAGGGATTCTATGTAGGAGGTTGCAGTGTCTTATCAAAGTTTTGATGCCCTTTCCCCCATAGAATTTCATTAATATGTAACAGTATGATTCCAAGGGGAATAGTAAGATGGTTTCCATTCAACTGAATTAATTAACCATTTACCTTCTTGAAAAAAGTGGAGTAGGTGTTGTCCCAAGTAAGTTTATAGCTTCCAGCCATGAATGTGCAGAAGTTACCCTAAAATTTGTCATGAAAACAAAGATGAGAAACTCTTTAAGCACTTGATCTAATAACAAAATCTGCAACAAACTTGCCAAACTCACTTGGTCAGATTCATAACGCCGGTAAGGCAACATCAGCTGCATCATATCCAATCAACCAGCATGAAGATCAGGAAAAAAAAAAACACACACACACACACATAGAGAATAAAATGCAAAATAGTAATTTATGCAGGGCATATAACCTAAAAAGGATTGATGAGAAAAGCTAACTGAGAATAACAGAGCAAATGCTTCTCCTTGGCATTCAAGATTCAACAACATGAAATTTCCATTTCCATTAGAACTTAATAATAGAAGGGAAACTTACGAACTTGAATGCCATTTGCATATGCTTGATGTTTTTTAATATATCCTACAATTGTGTAGAAGGGTTAACACCCATTATTTTTCTGATGTCTACCCTGTAGGAATTTTCTGTAGTTTTCTAACCAACCTATGACTGTATAAAAAATTATTTTGTTTATAAACCATTATGGAAATCCAAAAATCCCCTTGAAGTTAAAGTCTTGTTTAGGCAATGGCCGTAAGCATTTGGTTGAAGGAAAATTCTCCCAAATATGGGTGCTTCCAGGCCATTCTACTGTATTTCGTTTGAAGGAAATATTCTCCTATTTTTAATGTTAATAATGGTTGATTGCCTTGTATCTTTTTGTTGCTTCTCATTGAAGTTTGGTTCACGACTTTATCAGATTTAGAGCTATATTCTTTCATTTATCAGTTTTAGAAGGTTGCATATTGTAACAGCTTGGAGTGACGACTTGGAAACTGTATTGCACTAACAAGTAGCGAACTTTTGGTTCTCAATATATATTTAACTATACACCTTGCTTCAGGAGAATATCTTACTTCCTGCTATTCATGCACCGCTTCATCTCTTCAACAAAAATTCTTCTTTAATCCACCAAAAAATAAAAAAGGCTTGGGGAGAAACCAAATCAAAATAAGACAGAGATATTAATGTGTAACGGCATTGCAACTTACAGTTTTTTCACCAGAAGGGCTAATAAACTCCAAACTAAACCCAATATCCTGCAAATAAGTAACACAAAGTTCAATATTGGAAAGCCAGGGAAATACACATTGACTGCTTCAGTAAAAGGTTTAGCAGCATTACCATATTAATCTTGCCTTGTACTAATGAAAAATCCCAAGCAATGTATGAATTTATTGAGTCCACTGCGAGTAAAACCTAACAAAAAAACATCACCGTAGAAATTTATAACATAAAAGACAGCAAGATGTGAACTTCTGATTGAGTGCATCAAAATAATTGGCAAGCTCTGTTGAGTTACTGTTCATTGGAGTTTCAAATTGTTTTCCTCATGCCTAAGGGCCACTTGTCCTCCCGTGATGTATCGGTTTCTCTTCCCATTAACAAATTTGTTTATTAGATAAAAAAATGTCACATCTTCTCAATGGTCTAAAGATCATTTCAGAACAATATACTCTTGTTTACCGCTTATCATACCATGCCAACATAATTTAAGCTTCAAAATGTCAAGAGCATTACACAGATACCAAAAAAGCAAAACAAAAGAAAATAAAAATAGGTTAACCTCAATCAAAAAGAAATTCATTCATACTTTTTGCAAGAACTATACACATACCTCGTAACTTTTTCCAGCAGGAACACTTATCTCTTTGTAGTCATCATTTTCCCTAAAATTTGACAAACTGACTTAAAAAATGCTAAATCAAAACTTTTATTCCAAAAACGACAACAACAGAAGCATATTCGAAAAGTACCCTTCTAACGCCCCAGCAACTTCTGCAGAAATGAAGAAAGGCGAGTTTGCAAAGACCTCACTGACCAAAATAACTTGTTAGTTGATAGAAAAATGAACCAAAAAATTAATGAGTAAAGGTAGGATAAAACATGTTCATAGAGGCTAATTAATTGGGAAAAATTCAAGCTAAAAGCTTTATTTGTTAGCTGCAAGCAAAGGCATATGTTGCAGAGCTGTCCAAAAAACTAATACTTCTATCGCTTTAAATTCCAGAGTCAAAAACCAATATTTGGGTGGTTGAATTTGGAGCTACAAATTACATGACTAGTATTATTTTCTTCAAAATTTTATTCCATGAAAAAGGAATTTAGCAATGACAATTGACAGAAGACTTGATTCTGAAAAATGTCCCTCTAGTACCTAATTGAACTGTAACTTAATCAATCATTCAACTAACTTGGGACCTTAATTATGTCACCCACTTCTCTTCTACTCCCATCAAATTTTAGGACTTGGAGTTAGGGAGATGATTCATATTGACGAGGGGTAGGCTGCACTCTATCTTGTAACAAAAGCAGGAAAAGTCATTAAAATGGCTCTACCTATTTATACATTTTTATAGTGAGCCAAAGTTGTAGCATTAAAGACGCTCAACCTTAAATTCATAAAACTAACACCAACAACAACAACAACAAGCCTTATCCCACTAAAATTCATAAAACTGACGTATGATATATTTATCTCCAAGGGATGCTTATTTCAACTGAGATTTGGCAATTATCCAAACATACAAAAACCTCTTATCATGCACACAATCACTTTTTCTCTCAACCTTTTACCTCAATTTCATGGTGCAATTTGGAAACTAACAAATATTAAAAAAAATCATGGGAAGGAAAAAATCTAAGGTGCCTCACATTTTCCAAAAAAAATTTCTCTCTTGTACAAACTAAAAATCAAATTACCCTTAAAATTCTGAGATCAGACAATGGAAAAGAATATTTCAATTCTGTCCAAGGTCAATTTCTAAAGGAAGAATAGATTATTCTCTATGGGGTCCACTTCAGAGAGACAACGTACTCATTTAGTTAATTGGGATTGAGTGTGTGGCGAGAAGAAGTGCGGAGGTCCGGGCTTATGGCATTCAAGGTTACAGAATCAAGCTTATCTCATGAAGGTGGGATGGAGATTGGTCACAAGTTGTAATGCTCTATGGGCTCAGGTGGTACGAGGTAAATACTGATGTGGGAGGATTTGTTGCCCACGATAAACATAAAGAGGCCTGGACCTAGATTGTGGAGTGGAGTTAAAGCAACTTGGGAACAAGTGAACCAAGGGTTGGAGCTGGTTAACAACTCGGATCAACATAAGGTGAGGTAGAATATGAAAAGCATGGGGTATAAAGGCATTTGATTTTGATTCCATCTAGTCAAATATTTGGAAACTAAAAATCCCTCAAAGGTGCAAGAATTATACGTGGCTGGTGCAGCATGGGCAATTGATGACAAATGAAGCATTATTAAAGAGAGGGTTGCATGCTTCAGGTGAGAGTGATCTGTGTGAAGGAAGCAGAGAAGATGTTTCACATGTTATTCGTGATTGTGCTGTGGCAAGAGAAGTCTGGAAGAATGTGGTTCCTCCTTTGGAGCAAGGAACGTTCTTCCAGATTGATATACAGGTTTGGCTCACCATTAATCTATATGATAAGAGAGATGAGGGTCATAGCAGATGGTGTGATTTTTTTGGAGTGATGTGCCGGCCATTTTGGAAAAGGAGGAATGAGAGGGTTCATCAGAATTCAAATGAGGGAATGGCTTCGTGTGTGGCAGAAGCCAAGGTGTGCTAAACAGAAATTGCACTCTGCTATTATTTGTCATGTTGATGCTTGTAATCAGGAGGGTGCACAGGAGGTCGGTGGGGCATTGATTTGGGTTGATGGGACATATATTCTCCTGTGACTTCTGCAGCTGGCTCTGATGGTATCTTGAGGACGGCAAGAGGGAACATTATGGAAGGCGAGAGGGGACATTATGGAAGCTTCTGCATTACAGCTGTTAGAAGGGGATAGTCTCACTGCTGAACTGTGGGGCTGTTTGATGGGGCTCTTACTGGAGGAGGACTTCATGTGATTCCTGGAAGCATGGTTTCGACGTTACTTTTGGAAGCAGGCATCACTTAGTTTTGTCTTGTTATTGTTTTTAGTTTTGTTTTTTCCATCCTATCCAAAAAGAGAATAGATTATTCACTACAGCACCTACGGGGACTGATGGGCCCATAACTCTTGGGCCAAGGGAAAATATTTATAAGAAGGGAACGAAGACAAAACATAATGCAAGCGAACCCAAAAGGCTGCATTATCTAATGATGAGGTGGCCAAAGAGAAACCATCACATAGGGCAATAGGTGTAGGAGAGAGATAGACGTAACAGGTTAGAGTGCAGTTGTAAAATGCTGCCCAATGAACAAGTCACGACGAAGTAAATGATGCAAACCATGATCTTGGGCAAGGACAACAAAATTAGACATCCCAAATGCTCGCACTGACTTTTGTGAGGATATTGATAATGTGAAAACAGGTATTTCCTTGAACTACAAAACATAAAAACCAGTTAAGGGAATGTGCCCAATCTTGAAAGTAGCAGAAAGCAAAGGATACATGAATTATCCATGCTTAAACTTAGTTTATGCGGAAATATGGAGCACGACATACAATAACTTGAAGAAAGGAGCCAGGTCCAAGAATAATGAAAGTCATAGACAAGCCATTGAGGTCCTCAAGGACCAATTCAACTCAAAAGCTAAATGACGTTTTATTATAAAGAGTTAATGAGCAAAATGAACCCTGAAGTATTACGCAAAAATCACCTTGAACCTTGAACTCTTAAAATGTGTAAAATGGACACTAAACTTTTAAATTCACAACAAATTAAACCCTACTGTTATCTTTTTGTTAACACCGTTATTGTTCACCATAGACCCCAATTAAATGCTAACGTGGCAGTCCTTTATTGATATGTCATTTGTTAATTAGCGCCACAAACCCTAAACTATTATGAAAGTAGCATCCTGGACTCTAACCTTTGAAATTTTGAGCAAATTACTCCCCATCGTTTTTGTATAAAACGTTAACTATTATGTAGACCAAATTAGCCTCAACGTGATCCACTGCTGTGAATGTGTTAGTGTCAATGGCGATGGATTCATAATTTTGTGAAATGACTTTTTTGGCCCCTTTTTTGCAATGTTTTCCAAATGATTAGTATATTATGCTTCCATATATTTTATAACTCTAATTTAGTCTTATTTTGAATAATATTTATTTATTTAACGGTAAAAACTCAGGATCCCATTTGAAAAGAAATTTATGTATCATAGGATTTTACAAACGATGGATGCAAAAGCTGACGATTTCATTAACAAATTTAAAACCCAAATTAACGAGTTAATTAAAATCCTCTAATATTTAAACTTTTTTTTCCAATGGGATTCCAAGATTTTACCATTAAATAAATAAACATTATTAAGACTAAATCAGAATTATAAAGTATACGGAAGCATGAGATACCAATCATTTAGAAAACATTGCAAAAAAAAAAGGCAAAAAACGCCATTTCACAAAGTTATAAGTTGTTTGCCACAGCCAACGATGTATTCATCATGGCAAACCACAACAAGGCTAATTTGGTTTATATAATAATCAACGTTCTATACAAAAACAGTGGGAATAATTTGCTTGAAATTTCAAAGTTCAAGATCCAGGATGTTGCTCGTGTAATAATTTAGGGTCTGTGGCGCTAATTAACAAATGATACATCAGCAAGGGACTGCCACGTCAACATTTGACTGGGGTCCACGATGAACAATAATGGTGAATAGTAATGACGTTAACAAAAAGTTAACGGTAGGGTTTAATTTGTTATAAATTTAAAAGTTTAGGGTTCATTTTGCACATTTTAAGAATTAAAGATTCATGGCATTTTCCAAGCAATACTTCAGGGTCCATTTTGCTCATTAACCCTATAATAAAGGAACTAATACTTTGTCAAGGAGAAATTCAACACAAGCCCTAAAGTTTTCTACTTTCACCTCACAAATCACAAGCTTCCTATTGGCAGTCATACATTCACACCAACAAAAAGGCCCCTGAATTATCTTACCATAACAACACTCAACATATCACTCTGCACACTTAAACCAGCTACAATATGGAAACTTATTATCCCAAGATACCGATCAATGCATAATAAGCTGCAAATAATTTTCATAAATTCTACCTGCACAAAATGTAGGTACCAATTGTAATAATCATTATGGCTATTAATAATTGATTACAATCGACTACCATAGCATGAATAATATGAATGCCAGAGCATAACAGTACCTGAGAAATCTGATGAACCTTTCAAATTCTACTGTGTAGACATCAACAGCTTGTTCCAGGACAGTAAGTTGTTCCTTTTTTCTATCAGGTTACCAAGAGAGATTGAAGAACTTAAGAGAGTTATTATAGTCCTCCAAATTATATCTACATTAAAGCCAAAAGCAAATATACAGATAAAAGAACAAGACAAAACTCCTAGCAGCCATTGTAAAAGGTTAAACTCCAAATATAGGTGCATCAATAACTTCTTAGACAAGTTTTACTCATAATAAATAAACAGGAGTGAGAATACTTTAAAAAGCTTACATAGATAGGCTTATACAATATAATATTTTAAATAAGCTAGCCTAAAGAACAAGCAATACACGCAATGTCACATTAAATTGGATGAAAAGTTTATCAAGCAATACACGCAATGTCACATTAAATTGGATGAAAAGTTTATCTCCAACTAAAAATTTTTTCTTTCTATCAATGATGAATTAAGTGTGTTTCCAATCACTTGCTATTGAATACAAAGCTAATAATGAGAGGAGGACCACAACAACAACAACTTTATCCCACTAAGTGGAGTTAGCTACATGGACCGCATTATGCCACTATGCTCTATCAACAACAACCACTTTGCATAAACTGTTCACTAAAAGGTCTCAAAAACTTCCTTAAGAATATCACAAAGCTTAATAATGAGAGAAAGAATATCAAATATCACCAAAGAATACTTTCAACTGGGTTGCTTCCTAATTAGCACAACAGGCCGCTATTTTAATTAGACCAACTGTACTCTATTCCAAGACACTTTCTTTTTCCAGAATATTTAATTTATCCTTAACCCCGTTAAAAAGCAGTCTAGAAGACTTTCAAGCTTCACAAAAATAACACTTGCTTAATGAAATCAACCACATACTACCTTTTTTTTTTTTGGGTAACAGAAATCAATAATAAGAATTCACAAACTACCAAAGATGCATGTTATCTCACAATTTACTAGTCTCAAACCGCTCCCATGATAATGAAAGGAAGAGTCGAATAGCAAGAATCATCATCGTAAGGCTGTATAATGGCGGTCCATAACGATGTCGTTGCTCTTCCATGGGTCTACCGGTTTAAAAAAAAAAAAATCTTGCATTATTGCTTTTCTCATATATTATCATATTCAGATATCAAATCAAAGAAATCAAATAATGAAAACAGTAACTTTATACCCATCATCATCATTTATCCGCTGAATAAAATCCAGCAACACCTGCAACTCGTACAGAAAATAAAAAATAAAGTTAAGAAAAAAAGATAAATTACAACATGAATTAGTGAGGGGAAAAAGTAATTGATGACAAAAACCCAACAAGCTACAAAAGTAGTCCAAATGCGTCCAAATTTTACAGAACTACAACCAAGATCATGAAATCTCAATTTCTCATTCATGCCGCAGCCTAAAAGCAGGTTATCAATTGCATAAAATATTTGATGGATTAAGCCAACCACCTTATTTGAAAACATTTAAATAATTCTATTGATAAACCAAAAAAAACTGCCAAAGCCATACTTGTGGAACTCCAACCAGATACTTCACGAGTGTTTTATAGACACCTGTGGCAGAACCAAGCTGAGCTAATTGCCTTCTCCTGCAAAGCATAAATAGTTAAATATATTATTATGTAACAGCTACACACAACAGGGAAGACAAAAGAAATGAGCCTCACCTGTCCATTTGTTGTCTCCACAGCAAAGCATATCGATCACGTATGCTTCCTCCAGCATTTACCAGAGTGTCAACCTCTGCTTGCCTATTCCTTTCAGACCGTTCACGTTGCTGTCTTAGGAGAGTTCCTCGAAAATCTTGAGGCAAATAAGTCATAACTGCAAATGAATTTTAGTTTCTTAAACTCAGACTTAAGAAATTAACAGAGGAATTATCAAATATGCACAGCCAGGCAGTTTACTATGTAGCTTGAAAAAAATCACTAGCATCAAGTTCCTTCATTTAAGGACTGTTTGAAAATCCAATACAGTGCAGAAAATGAAACCTCAAAGAAATTCAGCATACAGGATGCCTTTGCATTCTTTAAGCAGCAACCTTCTTCCTTACTTAAAATTTTAAATGACAATAGTTTCCTCTAGCATATTATCATTCATTCTATGGGATCCCAAAAGCTCTATTCAATTCTCTAGTATGGGCAAAGCAATCACAAAAACCAATGTAAGGCAATTTTATGCACCAGAAAAAGAGAACTCAAGTGGGACTACAAATTAGATGCATGAAATTCTTGCAGGAAACATTTTCTGAATAATATTACATAGACTGAGAACATGGAGTGGTAATGTAGAAATACCAACAGAGAAACAGTTGTTTAGGAATATCACCCAAGGATCATCTGAGGGTTGATTTGATGTCTCTGAATTCTGATTGTTTGCATCTTTGAGTAACCAATTTTGGGTATTGTAAGGGGTAAATAAAAGAATCAACACATGTAACCCAAAGAAAAAAAAAAACAAGATGGAGAAAAGAAAAGAAAAAAATCGACGGAAACTCATTAAACAGCATTAGTTTCTCCATTATAGAATCTTGCAAATGTTAGTTGATGTTGGAATTGTAGAAATCCCGTTGATTTGGTAAATAGTAGCAAATAGGATTGATTTGATTTTATCATAATCCCTTATTATTCTCCTCTGACCATTGGAATCAGATTTTATTATTGTTTCCATTTTTGTAGGCTAGAAATCAGGGATTAGATTGAGTTGGCACTCTATATATATTGTAAATAGTAGTAACAAGGATGATGATTGACAGTGCTAAAGAATTTGATAGTCCTTACCACCTTGATGCATCTTCTAGAAAGTATGGTAGTGTCTACAATAAAGTCTCCTTTCCTAGGGATAGTGATCTTTTGTTATGGCAGCAGCGTGTTGGTCATCCAAACTTTCAGTCTTTGAGTCAAATGTTTCCTTCTTTTAGTTCTAATAAAAATGTTTCCAAGTTTTGTTACGATGTCTGTGAACGTGCAAAGCACCAAAGAACCACTTTTTTCGTAAAATACATCAACCCTCTCAACCGTTCACAACTATTCACAGTGACCTTTAGGTACATAGCCGAATTTCGAACAGAACGCATCAAAAATGGTTTATAAAGTTTATTGATGATCATACCTGCATTTGCTAGACCTTTCTCCTCAAAGATAAAGCCGATGTTGTCTCAATATTTGTGAATTTCTACAAAATGATTCAAACCCAATTTCAAACCTCTAATAAAATTCTACATATAAATAATGGCACTGAGTTCTTCAACAACTCTCCAGGCAACTTTCTTCAACAACATGGGATTGTTCATAAAAGCGCCTAAGCTTATAGCCCCCAACAAAACGGCATAGCTGAAAGGAAAAACAGACACATTTTAGATGTTGCTAAAGCCCTTCTTCTTACCCATAATGCGCTTAAATTTTAGTAAGGTGATGCCATCCTAACCAATACTCATCTCATCAATCGAATGCCTAACCATATCCTTTCTTTCAAAACCCCACTTAAAGTTCTCCATGCCACCTATCTTATTCCTCACGTTGAAAATAACCTCCCATTGTGAGTTTTTGGGTACATTGTCTTTGTTCACATTCATCACAGTAGCAAACTTGATCCTCATGCAATCAAATGTATTTTCCTTGGGTATTCTGCTTCACAAAAAGAGTTCAAATGTTATGATCTTGTTACAAAGAAATTCTTTGTTAGTTGTGATGTCACCTTCCATCGAGAAGAATCCTTCTATCCCAAGTCTCCAACTCAAGGGAGTACTGTGAGTGAATTAGAGCCTATGGAAGAAACCCTAGTATCCTCTTCACCACACCTACCTAAATTAGAAAAACCCTATGAGTATGAACCTCCTCTTGAATTCTCTGAGTCAAATGAGCTTGGATTAGATAGTGTACCTAACACTGAAGGGAATCCTAATAAGGGGGAGAGAACAAACACTGACAAATTCTATAACCAATTATATGTTAGAGGAAAACATTGAGGAACCAGACCTAAGTTCTCAAAGCTGACCATGAATCTAAACCTATGACAGTTCCTGAATCTCTAGAAGATATTAGTGACTACGATCAGCCAAGTGAGACAGTAGAAGATTTGGATCTTCCCGTTACACTACAAAAAAAGCCCAGATGGTACACCAAACACCCAATAAACAAGTTTGTCTCCTATAAGGCTCTCTCACATTGATATTTGGCCTTCCCAACTAATCTGGATAATAGTCAGATACCAACATGCATTGAAGAAGCCCTGAAGTCTCTAGAACGGAAAAAGGCTGTTATGGAGGAAATGAATGATCTCAAGCTAAATGACATGGGAAGAGGTCAAGATGCTGCAAGGAGAGAAAGAAGTAGGCTGTAAATGGGCGCTCACCGTGAAGTACAAAGCAAACAATAATGCCAAAAAATTCAAGGCCCGTCTTCTAGCAAAAGTTGGGTTCTCCCATATCTATGGAACAGATTATACAAAGACATCTACAGTAGTCGTTAAGCTCAACATAGTAAAAATTCTAATGTCCCTTGTTGCAAGTCTTGAATAGCCATTGTATCAGTTAGATGTCAAGAAGGCCTTCTTAAATGAAGACTTCAAGGAGGAGGTGTATATGACATCACCACCTGGATTCCTACTCCAAGAAGAAACTAGTTTGTAAATTGAGAAAATCCTTATATGGATTAAAACGTCACCTCGTGCCTACTTTGAAAGGTTTACACAAGTTCTAAAAAAGGAAAGGTTCACTCAAGGCTAGAGTGATCGTACATTATTTTTCAAAAAGGGGGCAAAAAGAACCATTTTGAGAGTATATGTGGATGACATTGTTCTCACAAGGGTTGACCATGAAGAAATGGAGAAGATTAAATTAGCATTGGCCAAAGCTTTCCAAGTGAAGGACCTGAGAGAAATGAAATGCTCATTAAGGATGGAAGTAGTGCAATCCAAGAAAGGGATTTATATATCCCAAAGAAAATATATCATCACAGGAATGTTAGGGTGCAAGTCCGGTACCACTCCATTGAAGTAACATCTAAAAGCGAGGAGGAGGAGGAAGAGAAAGATGACAAAGACGAAGATGAAGAAGAAGGAAATGAAGGCAAAGATGTTGACAAAGGAAGATACCAAAGACTATTTGGGAAACTCATTTATCTCTCCCATACTAGACTAGACATTGCATTTGCAACAAGTGCAGCTAGCCAGCACTCTCATGCTCCTAAGGAAAAACATATAAAAGTAGTTTACAAGATCATACAATATTTGAAGGGCACATCTGAGAAAGGAATATTGTACTAGAGAACAGACAAGAAAAATATAGAAATATCCACAGATGCAAATTGGGCTGATGCCCATGATGATAGAAGATCAACATCAGGATATTGCACACGGATGGAAAAACCTAGTGATTTGGAGAAGTAAGAAGCAAAATGTGGTTGCACAAAGTAAGCTAAAGCAAAATTTCAAGTTGTAGCTCAAGGTATATGTGAAGGGCCTTATTAAAGAAATAATTCGCACAATCCAATCCAGCATGACAAAATCAAGCATGTTGAGGTTGACAAACACCTTATCAAAGAAAAAAATTGAAGGGCCTCTCGTATCACTCATACATGTGCCCTTATGGAATCAAATCACGAATATCTTTACTAAGAGTCTATACAAAGAAACATTTGAGAAGTTTGTTAGTAGTTGGAAATGGTAGACATATACTACCCGACTTGAAGGGGATTTGTGGAAATCCTGTTGATTTTGTAAATAATAGTAAATAGGATTGACTTCATTTTATTATAATCCCCTATTATTCTCCTTAACTGTTGGAATTAGAGTTAATCATTGTTTCCATTTTTGTAGGCTAGAAATCAAGGATTAGATTGACCTGGCACTCTATATATATATATATATATATTGTAAACTCTTGTTCATTGTGAAATATAACAATCATTTGACTCTCACTCACAAGAATCATCTCATAAGATCTTGGGTGGATGGCCTTTTTGTTGGCTTGGGCTTTCAAGTTCAGGAGTATATAATAGCATGTCATGCATGCATATCTTTGGAATTCTATCATTGTGGAATTTTACAATTAGAGTCAGCTTATTTATTTCCCATTTTTTATTTCCTTTTTATGTGATTGTATGTAGAACTTAATTGGGTCCCTTGTTATGCAATCATTTCTCTATTTCTATTGTGTTACTGTTGTCATGTATTTGCCATCTAATCTAGCCATTTAGTGCATGTAGGCAGCAGTTTTTTTTCCCCCACTTTTTAGAACCTAGGATTTTGTGAGATTGGCTTTTCTTGACCTAATATTAGGTAGCTACTTTTTTGGCAAGTGAATCCACTGCTCCAGTCTAGTTAAAATTCAAGTTATGCTTTGTCAATGATCATAAGTATACAATTAATAATGTGGGATATTAAATGTCGATACCTTCAATAATTTTTTTTTTTTTTAACTGGGGCTAATAAGTGATATCAAGCTTTATATATACAAATTTACAAATAACCAATCAATAAGGAAGTTAATAATAATATGTATATATACAAGAAACCTCTCAATTGGACTTCAATACAAGTGCAAATTATTGGATTGAGCTTGTGCAAATTATCTGCACCAGGTAAGTTAACTACAGGAATGAGCTTGTGAATAACGGAACAAAATGACAAAAGCCCTGAAAACAACCTGATAAATGAATAAGAGTTGTCCAATCTCACCAAACGCAGAACCAAAGAGAAGCCTAGAATACAATTATATCCCATAAAAAATGTAAAGTATAAGACATGCCCTTAGAAATGTGACCATTGCAGACAAACCACAACCTACAAACTGCCTGTTGTCACAAATTACTATGAGCATCATGCTGACTTGGACAAGCAGCCAGACAATGACCCTGGATAAGGTGTCTGAAAATGGCTGGAACACACTAAAAAGTAATCCCAAGCTAGTTTGAGGGGCATCAGAAATGTGCTTGGATAATTGCAAACTGCTGAGCGAAAGGAATGAAAAGGCAAAGCCTGAACCACCAAATGATCCACAATGAAAAGTAGAGTTGTGAAAAGTATTGCTAAAATCTCAGAAACCTCAATTATTAGAATGCCCACGAACTAGAATCCCCCTTGCTACATTTAGAATCCATTTCTCTCAATCCAGATAGAAGAATCAGGACACTTGGCTCCTTTTCTTTTAATTCATGTGAGTCTTTCTTTCAATTTCTATCCCATCCTATTACAGAAAGATCAGTTCTAGATAAACCCATTTGGAGTTCTTTTACAGAAAGATCAGTTCTAGATAAACCCATTTGGAGTTCTTTTTTCTTAACCTGATAAAACTATCTGGTTAGTTTGTATCCTCAAATATTGGAAGGCTGTCTATTGATAGGGTGTAAAGAGCTCGGAAGGAAAAAGGAAGCTACAATACTGTGCCATTGTGCATTACTTGCAGTCATAAGGTGCATGTAGTTTGGGACAAAAGATTAGATTTTTAAGGATGATTCGTTAGAGCTAATGTGGGGGAAAGGTTAATGTGGTGTTCTGCTCATGGTTTTTTAAAGGGTTACAATCTCTTATTGGCAAAGAAATTATTCTGCATTTTCGCACTTTTGATTTAATTCTTTTATATATCTGCATAGAAATGACGAAAGCAAAAGCTAATACACAATCAAACATGAATTAACTTGTTCAAATCCAATAATTGAGACATGAGCGATTATAAGTTTGTTATCTATTGAAAGCAACTAGCTCAAGACAAAGGCAAGGAGGTACCTGTGTTAAAAACATGTTCTGCATTTTTAGCTTGGAAAGACTCCAATATTTTCAAAGTATTATGAACTTTGTCTTTAACCCGGTCAAGCACTACGGTACATTCTACATCATCAGGTGTTGACTGCCGCTTAAGCTGAATTCACAGCATGAAAGCTATCTAAGAATGGATACCATTTTCCCAGTTATGGACGAACTTGAAAAAAAGAAAAAGAAAAAAGAAAAAAGAGCCTTATACCAAGCAGAATGTCAAAATTATGGTTGTTCTGTTGAAGGAAAACTCAAAAATGCATTCACTTCGTTTTCATGAGTTAAAATATCAGCCTTCATAAAAAATATAAATACGAGTTGAACGGGAGGGAAAAAATGTAGATGGAAGATTACCCCTTCTGGCCAATTGGACCTTTCTAATAAAAAGATTGTCTCTTCCATATACTCTCGATTCTTCCACATATTCTCGTCAATTTTATGCGGAGGCTGATGATCAGCTTCATCGATTAAAATGCTTTCCCCTGGAATGGCACAAAAAAAATATACATATATGAGAACAAAGGTGTCGATCCGATGCATGTTTACCCTAATATACATGTAAGATTGTACATTTTAGGAATCTTGGACGGACATACAGATGTTATATATAAGAATGCCGGCGTGATTTAAAAGATATTCAAGATTCGTATATGGTGCCCATGCTTGGTTAGACATAGGAATCTTAGATATTCAAGAGCAAATCTATTATCTGGGATACATTTAGATATCCAATATTTATGGGTATCGTGCATTTCAATGTATAGCCAAGAATGTGGAGATCTTAGATTCTCACACCCTATGTAAGCACCCAAACTTAATCTATTCCCATTTCAAGCTCTAGAAATCAAAACAAGCACTTTTTTTGAAGACAGTAAGATGCCAAGGGCAACAGTTAATCCCACTGTTCAGGGAAGAAAATTTACAACGCCGTGACACAGGCACAAACTCATGCGCCATAGGAAAATCTACAGGCAGCTAGTTCAGCAGCTTCGAAGGCGAGAGCGGGGAGGGTAGCAATTACAAGGGGAAAAAAAAAAGATTGCGTAAGAGAGATGAAACCTTGAGTAGGAGGACAATCAATGAGCAAATTATTGGCCATAGAACGAATTTCTGAAGAAAGACGAGATACATCATCAGAGAGAGGCTCAAAAGGGTATTTGTCGTAGTAAGACGCGAGGAAACTCCTAGTTATAGGCACAAGACCCTCCGTAGAAGCCATCCGATAGTGTGATCGAGTTCAAGATCAACCTCCTTGGGACTTGGTCTCTCTCTTTCTCCTTCTCGTCCTCCTGGGGTCTGAAAACTTCACAACAGAGTTTTAGTGCTTTGCTTTTATTCCTTTGGTATATTCTTTCATACGAAGTGGCGTATAACGGTGGCAGCTTAGACGAGTCACAGAAGTACGACACCCACCGACTGCTCCGTTACGTAAACAAATTTCAATCCTTCACTTTGCTTTTAGATTTTTTTAAGAATAAATTCCCGCCGATTAACACGACAATCTTGTCATAGTAATTTTTGCAGAACCACTCTTACCGTGTAAAAGTTTCCTGGCACCAAAAAAAAAAAATTTATGTCCAGAAAAATATAAATTAAATTTTTAAAAATTTAAAGATATGGTTAGTTCATAATAATATATAAAAAATTTATTTTTAAAAATTTAAAAAATATTTATTATTGATATACAATAATATGTCATTAATAAATATAATAAATTAATTATAATATAAAATATAATAAATATTGAGCAGTTTAATTTTATAATATGAACTATGTGGCATGAACTAATTATTACCTAAGCAATTTTCCATGATATTTATTCAAAAAAATTAATTGCTTAGAATTTAATATTTGACATGAAGTAATTATTACCCAAGGCTTTTCAAGATATTTATTTAAAAAATATATTGTTTAGAATCTAATGGTCTTATCTCAAATTATCAAGAAAATTAGATAAAAGATTTTTATAAACATTTTGACACCGCCCTACTATCACCACATAACTAGTGGTATTTTTATAATCTTGTAGGTCTCAAATTTTATTGAAAGAGCAAGTTCCCACAATTAATGTTTACTTTTATTTTCTTGATGAGTTTTCAAAATTATCCCCTCAATAAAAATATTTAAAAAATAAAAAATTTATTATGGAAAATTAAATAATCACTTTTAATTAAATGTTTAGAGAAATTAACAAATGATTTATCAAAAAAAGAAACTAATAAATAAGTTGCAGTGCACCAAACTTATAATCACTATTAGATATTTAAAATTGTAAACGTTCCATCGCTATTTACGCTCTGACATGACTTGATTTCTTTTACTCTTGCACCGGCTGCATGTTACAAGAATGAAAATTGTTGTTCATGTTAGATCTTTGAAATGATTCAAATTAATTTTTTTTTTACCAGTTACTCAAATTACATTGAAAGAGATAGAATTTAAGTGATTGAAAACTAAAATAATTCTTCTTAAAATTTATAGTAATAACTAATGACTAATAATAATGTATCATATATATATATATATAATTAAATCAAACATTATTTGTTAATCACAAATATCATGCTGCCATAAAATCCGCAGTTTAAGTTTTTTTTTTTTTGGGTCATGAAATCTACACTTTATGTTGAGTTAGATTCTTCAAATTCTATCTAATAGGTTGGAAAAATATAAGCAACGAAAAAATATTAATGGGTTGATTGAAATAAAGAGTTGAGTTGGTAAAATGTGTTTGGATAAGTCTACAAGTCATTTGATAATATTGAAAAAAAAATTCTTCAAGTCTAATTTAAGTCATTTATAAAAGCACGCTAGAACTTGGATATATGTGGGGTAAAAGAATTGTTGCTGTTGTTCTTGTTGATTAAAAGAGTTTTAAAAAAACATAATAAGCAAAAAGTGTATAATTATTTTCGGTAAAAAATTTGCTTTTAATGGTATGATTATTTAATTAATCACTTAATAAAAAAATTAGGTGGTCTGACGGTCTTACAGAATATACAAAATTACAGAAAATAGTTTGTTCACAACTTGTGAATAAATTATTAATAATATTGATATGATTTATCAACATTGTCAATTCATCCTCAACAAAACATTCATTAACGATACTGATTTGGAAATTACTGAAATTATACTAAGTATAAAAAAATCATTTTAGATAACTCTGTTTTTTCCTAAAATAAGTGCAATTTATTGAAGAAATGCGGGGAATGAAAACTCCCATGCAAATTAAATGGCTATAGATTTTTGTATTTTATCTGATATCTCTAGCTTTGATATTTTTATTTAATAAAGATGCATACCAAACTTAATATTTAAGGTACATTGATTCAATTTTCTCTACCCCTTCACTCTTAATTTTTTTTTTTTTTTGCACAAACCCTTCACTCTTATTTAAAGGAAGAGAAAAGAGAAGGAAAAAATAAATAAATAAAACCCATCTAGAAATTAGAAAAGACGTAATAATTGCGAAGCCAAACTTTAGGAAACTAGAGTGTAATTTCATCTATATGTTTTGTTGGTAAGAGGAAGAAGAAATAGTTCCAAACCATAGGAACGCTTTCAAATATTCCAGGGAAAATTACATGCCAATCAATTTTTTTTTTTTTTGAGCCAGAAATGTGCCAATCAACTTCATTTCATAAATTTATTGTCACTAGCACATTTAAAATCACGACGCTTATCGCTTTCACCAAGTGTCATTTCCTTTTCCTGTTATTATATATGTTGTTAGTGATGGCATGTTCCTTGCAATATGCTAAAAGTTCCTTTCAAAAATATTCTCCCCAATTTTTTACAGTATAAAATGTAGGTTTCTTGGATACTCATGTAGAGATTATATTTTTTAAAAACATTAAAAGCAAATGATGGATCTTTTCAAATAAAACCCTTACTACTCATACCCATTTTATTTGGTCTCGTCATTTTAATTTTATCACCCATGAAAATTTATTTTTATTTTTCTTTTGATTCCCCATTTCAGATTGTTAAGTAAAAAATTATATGAAAAATTTGACCCTTTCTCTCCATTTTTTTGGGTCAAAAAATCCTTGCTCTTCATCAAATATACACAAATTACAAAATACTGTTTTGAAGACGTTGTCAGATTCCCATTATTAAAAATAAATAAAGTAAATGCAAATTGTATGATCATTTCTCTATCAAAGGAAAAGTTTATTTTTTGTCTTTTTTTCTTGGATAAATTTAAAATTCATAATAATGATTTTTATTTTTTTCTAAAGATAAGTTTAGAAAAGTTATCTTGAAGTTATTGATTTGTGACTTGAATTAATTTATTTTTATATTTTTTAAACATAATATCCAATTGTTATAGATAAGAACTTAGATACTTAAATTTATACGCTTAATATACTTTTGTTCAATAAAATTAAAGTAGTAAATTTTAAAAGGTTAATAATATTAAATACAATAATTTGTTACTACAAAATAAATAATATATAAATTCAACATGTCTTAATTTAATTGAACACAAATATATTAATTATATAATTTTATATTAAACATATTAACTAATGATTATTTGTTTGCGGGTAGGATTAATTTTTTCCAAATACAAAATAAAGTTGAATTGAGATTAACCCTTCTTGTCCCGTAATTGCCTTGTAGTCCACATATTGTCGTCAATTTTATGCGGAGGATGATGGTCTGCTTCATCTATTAAAAAGCTTCATCCTTTCACCCTCCAATTTTTTTCTCAAAAAGTGTTTTTGTTTTCTGGATCCGTTACTGCTTGAAGGACTTGAACTTTGGCAGAAAAACAATTATTCTCGCATCAACATTCCCTGCAGCTCTTAAAAAGCTATTCATCTTATCTGAAAAGGTGAGGCATTGCAAATAGCATTAGGGAAAGGTACATTAACAACTTATAATCAAGAGAACTCTCTATTACAGGCATTACAAAAGCCATCTGAAAAGAGATGGACCTATGTCTAAGCCCTCACCATGCCAATGTCATGTCTTAGTTGTATGGGTAAATGTGCAAATATGATCACATATTATTTTTGCGTAAACATCTGATAGTTTAAATTATACATTCAGTAATCTACAGTTAACTTTAGTAGACAGACATTATGTGAGACCCATAATGACACGTGACACTCCACAAGCACTCCATGTCAGGATGTGTAAAGATGTAAATTTAGTTATAAACTATTTTTTGAAGGGCACCGGGTAACCTCTACTATAAAAAATGAATCATCTAACACATTCCCATCAATTTTGACTAAATATCATTTATTTTTAAATTTATGAAACTCACAATACATCAATTTTTTTTAATTTTCTTCACTTCATTCTCAGTTTCAACTTGAAAAAAAGAAGTTGAAAGAGTTTTTATCTAAAAATATTTATGAAGATGATGCCAACAAAGTAGAAGAAATAATTCATGATTAAATTAAACTTGAATCAAGCTTCTCCTATATGTAGTAAAATCAAGCTTTTATTTTATTACCATCATCCTCATGAATGCCTTCAGATAAGAACTCCTTGAATCTCTTCTTCTCGAGCTAAGATTGAGAACGAAGGCAAAAAGATTGAAAAAATTAATGCGTTGTGGGTCTTATATATTTAAAAATAAATGATATTTGATCAAAATTAATAGAAAGATATTGAATGGTCCATGTTTTATAATAGAAGCTATTGGATGCATCATTTTTTAAAGTTCATATTTTATTTTATACCATATGATAATTTAAGCTATCATATGCTCCTGAAAAAATAGTATGTTGCCCAATTTGCACCTGCTCATTATAATAGGGGAAAATTTCACTTGTGCCCTCTAAAAAATTATCATTTGCCCAAAAAAAAAATATTACCCTTGCATCCCTTAATTTTTTTTTTATTTTGAGTCTTCACTCTTTATTACCTGAACATTTTCTCAAGTATTCAACTAAGAAAGTTAATATTATTTTTATTATTGATTTTGAAGGAGAAAGAGATATAGAAATTAAAAAGAATGTTGATTCATATTATAAATATAAGTATATAATAAAATATTATTAAGTATTTTTTTCAACTTCTCTAATAAAATAGTAATCTCTATTTTTTAAAATATAATAAGGCCATATTCTTTAATTTTTAAGTTATACTCATTCATACTCCTAGGTAACACTTTCCAATAAAATGTAAAATATTTTTTAATAATTTATATTGAAAAAAATTATTCTAAAATGGCATGATTCTTTGCATTAAAAAAGAGTATCAGGGTTTGATATCAATAGCTACCACTTATTCTATCATTTTCAATATATTTTTTCTTATATTAAGATAATTTTTTAAAAAAAATTGTTACAATTTTACAGTTGTTTATTATT